CTTTTGTCCTTTTCTCTCTCATGTAAAAGCTTAAGATTTACGATTGGAGATTTCATTCTGGGTTGACCCTTTATTTACATATTGCATTGTTCATTGGTTTCTGTTTTTTTATTTTTAATGTTTTTCACTAGTGTTTTTGTTAATTACCATTAAATTTTCACTCGAGATTTATGTTTTGTGAAAAATATTTCAAAAATTTTACAACGTATTTTTGAGGTTAAAATGTTTTTTTTTGTTAGTGTTCAGTAGAAAGAATTGTTTCCTCCAAAAATGATTAATATTTTGCAATTAGGTCTTAAGTTTTGACACTTAAAAATAAAAAAAAAAGAACTACGGTGTTGAAAGTTATCCAATTTATTGTTCACAGAATATTTAGGTCCTATTAGAATTTCACAATATTGGAACAAGATTGGTCCATTAGTGATCTAATCGTTTGGATCGGCAATTTTCCTCCCAGTATTGATTCGCACTTTTTTTTTATTTCTACATTTATAGTAAAATCGACTTTTATTATTCTAAATACGACTGAAAATATAAAGAAGTGAGAATTTTCATTAATACACAGAGAAAATAATTTATTTTCTTCAATTATGTAAACGGTTATTTGACAATTGTATTAAATGAATTCCACGTGGCAACATAACCTAAAAACTGATTTCAGTACTGGCTATTTGTATTACAAGAGGCTATTTAAACACAACAACTTCTCTCTCTCCGTAATTCAATTGACTCAAACAATAATTAGTACAAATAAATATTTATTTGACAATTTATATAGAAATTAACCACGATTATTTGAATGAAATAAATTTATTTTCAGTGTATCAATTACCATTCTATTTATGTTGATGAAAAATTAAACGAATATTAAATCGATGACGTTCAAAGAGAGAGAGAGAGAGGGACTAATTACACGAGCTGACATTCGCCGTTTATATATCTTGCCTGGCATTGAGTGCATTCTTTTATTTTCATTCATATTCGATGCGGGACAGTGAGAGAGAGAGAAAGGTTGGATACATATGTGACACATCGATATCAGCTAAACGTATCAGAATTAACGGACTGTTGATGGAGCAAACGAAAAACGTATACTGAGTAAACAATTACGGTGATAGTCGACATTGGTCAATGCGAGTGCCGAATTCAGGTTTCGTACACGGGACACTGGACTCTTGAATAATCTACCATGTACGGATTCAATGGAAATACAAGCATTGCATTGTGCGCGGAATCTACCATTGAAATCTCTGTATATATGCGGCAGATGCATGTATCCATAAAATTAAATTATTGTAAAGCAATCGAAACCTAATGGTATAATATGTTTTCATTTTCATACATAAAAAACTTTATTTTTATTATAGAAAGAAATTGCCAAAGAGAAAAATTGAAATTATATAAATGTTTGGAAGAAGAGACAGAAAATAAGAAATTTCAAAGAAGCAAAAAGTATAAGGAACTTTAAGGCAGGGGTAAATCCATACAGTAAACAGCGGGAGAGAATCGAGAGAGAGAGAGAGTGAGAATTTTAATATATAAAAGATATGAAGCTTTTGCTAGTTTGCGGCGGGGCACCCCGAAGGAGTCTTCAGGATTCAAATAAGATGGGGCTGAAGAAATCTGAACAGCCAACAACAGGCCGCACCCCGGCCTTTATTTAACCTTTTCTTAAAAAGGAGTCTTAGGAGACTTCACTTTTGCTTCCCATTTCCTTGTCCCTTTTCTCTCTTATCTATATACTCGATGGTTCTTCAACAACTTGCGACTCACAAGTTGAAATCTACTCCTTCGGGAGACTGACTAAGAAGAGGTCGCCGCGGCTCAAAAAAAAAAAAAATCGCGGTTTCTTCATTAACAGAAAGAGAGAATACCCTTCCCCCCCCAACGGTATTAATTAGCGAATTAAAAGAATTCAGACCTATGACGGTCAACCACCCTTTCTCAATTTCATTCCCAAGTTGTGTAAAAAAAGAAAAAATTACAAAGAAGAATAAAGTGTGTGTCTACAATATAGAGTATCTGACAAGAGCTTTTCAAATTCTCAGAATAAAAAATAATATTTTTGGTACTCTTTTATAAATTGATTGTGATATTTGAAAAATGTGAAATCAAAATTGTTATTAATAGTTCATAATTTTTTTATCCTACAAGAGAAAATAAGTCTTAGAAAACTAAATCGTAAATCTTAACTGATACTTTCGCTAAATAAATGCTGCCTTTCCGGCATGGAGAATAGAAGACCAAACTAATGTATTTGAAGGCAAGTGAGTTTTAGTCGGATTTTGAAGCATTTTTACAGATTCGGTGATTACTATTTGGTCGTGATTTTGTGTATTGTAAAGTTAATCTCCCGTGCAGAAATTTGAGTTAGATTTTAATAAGGACCTCGCTGTGCGTCCCTTTTGCCAGATGGGTTCCGGAAGGGAAACTCTAGGCGGGACCCGGCATTTTTCGTCACGATCGACGCCAGCGAGGAATGTTGGTAGGGATCTAGCAGGGATATCCCTGCGATTTCCCTACCAGGAGTAAAGGGTTCTCGCTAGAACCCTATTAGCTCCCTTTAATCGATTATTATTAAATAAAAATTAATAAATATTTAATAAATCCAAAAAACATATTTATATAAAGATCCAACGTCCTTTCTTCCGTGTGTGTTTTTGAAATTGTAGAGTTAAAAACGCCCGTTATGCTATTTATTACAGCCGTGAAGTTTAATTGAACTTCCTAACCTCCAAACAGTACTAACACAAATTTTAACCAGAATTATAAATAAAAAAGTTAGAAATCATAATATTACCTGAAGAAATTGGAATAATTATAGTAAAAATTAAAAATTTGCAATAATGATATTAACATAAAGACAAAATTTGAGGTTAGAAAACCAATCAATATATTTTTTACTTTTAATATTCTAAGTACATGTTTCATGTTTGTTGGCTTAATATTAAATATTCTTAAATTGATAATATTATGTTAATATTTACCTTCTGATAAAGAAGATAAGTGATTTTAGTTATCTAAATTGTCAATATCCATAACTTGCTCTTGAACATATTGCATTCTATTTAATTCAACGCGTACGGATTTCACCTCAAGATATTGTTTGCTACGCATTCGCGATTGCTTTTTTGTCCTCTCATTATTTTCCATTATTAATTAACAAAAGAATAATAAAATTCAGGTTCACACAAAATGACATGTGCACTTGCACCATTCATGTCATCATTCTCGACGATGGAACATCGATATATTGAAAACTTCGATACATCGATTTCGATATTTTCGATTTAAATTTAAATATTATTTTTAAATTCAAATAAAAAGTGAAACTATATATAATAATGTAATTTATTAATAATATTATTTTGATTCTATCACTCGGTGGTATTTAATAATAAATTTAATTTATTTAATAATTTTTATTATTATAATTTATTATTATTAATATTTATTCTTTTTATTATTATTTCTAAAACGAACATTTTAAAAATATTTGTGTCCCTTATTGAACATAATTAAATTCATATTTTAAATAAAGAAAACATTGAAAAATAATCTAAGTCCGATTCGAGGTATTTCTGGCTAGAATTTAGTAAGGGCTTAATCAGATTTTTCTAGTTTGAATTGCCTTTCTTGAATTCAAACGGGATCTCAGCAGATATTTCTAGTCTGAATTTCTCACAAGAATCTAATCAGGTTCGAGTACGACTTTTCTAGGCTAGATTTTCTAGCGTGGTTTTAGTCGGAATCCATTATCACGTTGGGAAGCTTAGGGACATTTCTACACGGGCTCAAAAAAAGTTTAAGTTGATTATTATCGAATTGAAAAACAAGAAAAATTTTATTGAAATATTATAATGAAAAAGAGAAATATATTATTAATCTAGAAGGAAATATTTTTGATGAATGAAAGATTCGTCAAAAAAAAAAAACCACCACGCACCCTCTCTGAGAGGAAAATGTATATATAAAGGAAAGAAATCAACTATATAGAAGGAGTATTGGGAACCTTTGTGTTTTAAAGCACACTACCGTCTCCCTTTGTACCATTCCCACTTTTTATTTTACTTGGTCGACACACTGCAGGCGAAACGACGCCACCTGACTCCTGACTAAACACTGATAACGCGCCCCGAGAATTTCTTTGCATGTTATAAACATACGTAATCGTACACAAATAAGATTAGCATACGACTGAGCGTACAGGATTCGCAAAAGACACATGGGGCTTTTACACGTACCAATGGGTCTTTTCTTTCTTTTTTTTGTTAACCCCCTTCCCGCCAAAACCACATTCAAATCGTATTTATTAAATTTATTCTCCAGTTTTTTTTTTCCAAAAAAAAACTTTTGTCAAATGAACTTTTTTTATCTTTTTTTTTTTTTTTGCTTTTACTTTTTAGTTAAATGAAAATAATGGTTCACCGCTAACGTTTCCGAAAAACTCATTTTGACGTTGAACGCCTGTTTCCTTGAGGCAAAAGAGGCGCGGTATATAAAGAGTCAAGAAAATGAAGGAAGGAAGGAAGGGTGCGCGCGGGTTTATTCAGTTTCGCTTATACACTCTACAATCTGGTTGATGATAGAACTTAATAAAACAAATCCCGCCATGTAAACACTCGGTGAGACGAGTCGACGTCATTCAGACAACAGGGAGTTTTCCTCTCTTCAATTTTGGAAGCGTAACTGCCAAAGTTGAAATAGAGAAGAACGTATGTTGTGCTAGCTTATTCTTGAATACCATTAGAATAAGATCAATATTGTTCAAAGTACAATACATATACTGAAACTTAAAAAGAATAAATATCAAAAATTAATTTTTTTTTTTAAATTAAGAATTCTTTTTTGCTTTTCTAAACATGAAAAATATGCTTATTCATATATCCAAAGATAACAGAGTTGATTATTCAAATAAACTGAAATATTTGATTTTTCTTTTTTAATATATAGAGAATTTTTCATTATAGTTGTTTTATTTTTTTCTTTTTGAATTACAGGCAAATTCACTATTCGCGGCATTAAAACAACAACAGTCTAGAGAAGCAGCAAGGGAAAGTCGTGAAAGAGAAAGACCACCTCGGAGTAGAGAAAGAGGACCAAGTGGACCCGAAAGTGATCAGCAAGACCTCACAATCGAATATCAAAGCAATGGAAAGCTCAGTCCTGCTGGGCACACAATAACAACAGCACCCATGACCCAACAAAAGCAACCGATCATCACACAGCAACCACAACAACCAAGTTCAGTAGGACCAGGTTCACAACCAAGTCCACATCAGAGTCCTCAAGCCCCGCAGAGGGGTTCACCACCGAACCCCACACAGGGTCTACCGCCAGGTAATTTTATTTCAATTTTTCAAAAATTAAAAAATGAAAATTATTTTTTCTAAATATTGTTGACAAATAAATAGAAAAATGTAGAGCTCGAGAAAAAATATTTAATTTACATTTAAGAAATTAAAATATTAAAATGAACAGAAAAAAAAATTATTTGATTTAACACCGAGAAAAAAGATTTCTTTGATTCAAAGAAATCAATTTTTTCTTCTTCTCCAACAAACTTCTCAGATAGCACAACAATTTGCCACAATTTTGCAGCAAGTTGGCAATGCCAAATTGCAAGTTTGCATTGCCAACTTGCTGCAAAACTGTGGCAAATTTTTGTGCTATCTGGGTTTTCTTTAATGTAAAAAAAATTTATTTATTTCAAACAAATTATCATTGATTCAAAAAAAAATACTATCTTCGTTTCAAAGAAATTTTTTATTTAATTCAAATAAATGTTTCTTTTACCCAAATATCAATGTTAAAATTTCTTTGATTTAATGTACAAATTTTTTTCATTCAAAAAAAAATTTCTTTGAAACTAAAAAACATTTTTTGTTTCAAAGAAAATTTTATTTTAAATGAAAGAAAACAAGTCAAAGAAATTGGTTTCTTTAAATTAAAGAAATCTTTTCTCTGAATGAAGTAATCGATTTAAATTAATATTCGGTTTTAAGGGTACTTACGGTACTTATAGCCCTGTAACATAACCTCAAACAGTTGGTATCCATATTGCCCCCACTCGACATTTGTCATAAATCTCGTCAACTACCGCACCCTGCTCTAGTGAAAATTTAGTGACTTTATATTATTAAAATTAAAATGTACTATAAAGTCACTAAATTTTCACTAGAGCAGGGTGCGGTAGTTGACGAGAATTATGACAAAAGGCGAGTAAAGACAATGGAAACCAATAACTAAACTAAAAAATGATTTTTCACACAAAAAAAAATATTTAAAATTTATTACAGCAAATTTTAAAAGATTTAGTTGTACAATTTTTAACAAAAAAAATATATTTTCAGTCAAAATTTATCGGCAAATAATAATTATTTAACATTTTTTGTTTTTTCTTAAAAGTTATGTAACAATTGTAATTTTCTTTTTAAATTTTTATAAATAGCTACTTTTTCTCTTCGAGAGATTCTCTCAAATTCTGATTTTGCGTTTTTGTTTAATAATTGTTTATTTAAAAAATATAAAAATCTTTCTTAAAATTTTGAACAAAATATTGTTAATAAAATTCAACGAACAGAATTCTAGAAAATCCTTTAAAAATAAGAGCAAAATTAGCTATTGATAGTAAAAATTGAATAAAAATTACTATATTATGTTTACCAAATTAAAACAAAAAATATAATTATTATTTAACAATAAATTTTTACGTAAAATAATTTAATTTGAAAATTGTACAACTGAATCTTTTAAAATTTTATAAAATTAATTTTATTTCTAGTTAAAAAAGTTAAAAACATTTTTAGTTTGAGGTTATGTTAGAATGGGCTAAGAACCCTTAATTCTTTTAAATATAGAAATTATTGATTAAAATATAATTTATTTGATTCAAATAAAAATTATTTGGTTCAAATAAATATTTATTTAATAATAGCCAGGTAACTAATTTTTTTTTTAAAGAGGTTCAACCCATTAAAAATATTTTGTTCAAAAGTTTATAAACAAATAAAATTTTTATTTTTTATATTTTTTAAACAAACCAATATTTATTAAAAACACAAAAGCAAAATTATAAAGAATCTTTCAAAGAGAAAAATGAGCCATTTTTTATCAAAATTGGATAAAAATTAGAATTGTTCACTAACTTTTAAGAAAAAATACAAAACGTTTATTAATTATTATTTAAAAACAAATTTTAATTTAAAATATTTTTTTTCAAAATTGTACAATTGGATTTAACGAATTTGGGTGTAATAAATTTTAAATATATTTTTAGTTCTGTTAAAAACTATTTTTTAATTTGAGATTATGTTAATGGGTTGAACCTCCTTAATTATTTATAGTGTAATATCCGCTGGAAGAGCAGATACCAATTTCCAAGAAAAAAAATATAAAACTCACAAAAAAAACCACTGCAAAATATTATAAATAAAAAATTTTTTGTAAGTTTAAATTTTTTTTGAAAATTGGTCTCTGTTCTTCTAGCGGATATTATTATTCATATTTTAATTTCCTAAACGTAAATTTAAATATTTCTTTCTGTTGGTTTTTCAGGTACGAAAACCTGTACAAGAAATTTTTTTTTTTAATTTAATGAAATTTATATTTTTTTAATATTATATATATTCTTAATATAATTATATTTAATCATAGGAGGCCCGCCGGGGGGACCACCACCCTCGCAAACACCTTCGCAGATGATGTTAAATCCTGCGAGTGGTCTGCATCAAATGCAACAACTTCTTCAACAACACATTTTTAGTCCCACACAATTACAATCATTTATGCAGCAACACACGCTTTATCTTCAACAACAGCAAAATCATCAGGTGATAATTATATTTCTTTTTTAATTAAACAACATCAAATTAACGGAATAAGTTTGGTACAATTTTGCCAACTTTTTTTTTTTTTATTTTTTTTTCATTTCATCACAAAAACAAAATTGTTGGTTCATTAAAAATCCAAATTATCAAAATATTATCTTGATTCGAAAATTAAATTAAAAAAATAAAAGAAAATTATGTTTCTCTAGAATAAATATTTCGAATTATATTTAAAAATATTTTGAAATTCAATTATTGAAATAAATTATTCACATTTAATGTAATAATTTTAAAATAATATTTTTAAAGTGTCATTAAAATAATAATTGAAAATATCTTGAATATAATTTTAAAGTAACTCTTATATCTTTTGACATGTATAATAATCCCTTGATCACACTTTAAGAACTCCGACCACAGATAGGTACCCCTTTTCTTTATCACGAACAACTGTATTCTCAACCCCTTTTTGCATATCATCTAAAAATTAAATTTCCACTTCCTACAATAAATTTACATATATCACTTGTTCTAAATATCTCGCAAAAACAGATCTGATAATACATTTTTACAGGACTCCCCATCCGAGCATGTATCAAATCAAGAACGTTTTGGTTACTTTTCATCTTTAAAAAGCGTAAGTTTTAAATTGTTATATTTAAAAATTCTCGTCAAGTAAATATTACGTTGAAATTTTAATTTAATTTTTTTTTTCTAAATTATTATTATTATGTTTGAAGAGAATTCATTTAATATATAAAACAAAACTTTTATTTAAAAAAAAAAAAAAAAAAAAAAAACTTGAAACACTTTGCTTGTTCGCCTCTCTAAATTCAACATTTTCACCCTTGACAACAACTACAGTCGTTCATTTTTCTCCCCGACCAATCAGTAATTCTAATTATAAAAGGTACGATCATAACGAGTCCTCTTTCCGCAGACTGTAAAGAACAGAAAAGAAAGAGTGAAAGAGAGGGGAAAAATATTTGGGGGAGCGGCGCAAAAGAAATTAATTGAACCATTATTTAAGAAAGCTGAGCAATTGTTAATTTGAGAATCATGTCGAATCGCTCAGAATTATACAGAACACTCGACAATATAAATCTTGATTCATATTCCCCCCCCCAAAAAAAAAAAACTTTTAAATACATTTAGCTGATAATGAAATTATTCAATAATTACCATTTTTTATTTATTTATTATATGGAAATAATTATTTTTCCAACGAATTATCAATTTTCGAATTAAAATTTGACAGATATTCTTTTTTTATAAAAATTTTTAGCTATCGAATTTTAATTTGGCACAATTTTTATTTTACACTCATTTTCAATGAATGACTTTTTATTAAAAAAAAAAAAAAAATTTAATTAAAACGAATTTTAATTTAATAGAAATCTCATTCAATTTGAATTTTATGTGATTCAAATTTTTAAATGACAGAAATTTCAATTCGCCAAATTTCAAATTTGTACGAATTTTTATTTACGCGAATTTTTAATTGATTGGATTTTTAAGATGACGAATTTTCATTTGTCCGCAATTACAAATGTCCGAATAAACAATCGACAGAAAAATTTCGGTACAATTTTTAAAATTGACCAATTATCAAGAAAATTGTGATTGGGCAATTTTAAAAAATTTACTCCGAAATCTTTCTGTCGATTGTTTATTCGGCCATTTATAATTTCGGACAAATGAAAGTTCGACGTCTTAAAAATTAAAACAATTAAACATTCGTAGAAACAAAAAATTCGGACTTTGAAATTTGGTGAATTGGAATTACTGCACATTTAAAAATTCGAATAAATAAATAAAATTTCTGTTAAATTAAAATTTGTTTTAATTAAAATTTTTTAAATAAAAAGTCATGTGTATAGAAAAGGAGTATTAAATAAAAATTCTGCCAAACAAAAATTCGATAGCTCAAAATTTTGTTAAATAATAAAATTATTAATTTTTAATTAAATTATTTAATTTAATTAATTTAATATTTTATAAAATCCTATTGAACAATAATTAATTAAGAATATGTAAATAACAATTACAAATTTTGTCGACAGATTTAATATAAATTAATACCTTTTAATATTTACAAATTCAGTACCTTTTGTTTTTTTTTAACACAAAAATTAATTTCTCAACATTGATCATGTTTTGTTTAAAAATTAAATGATTCGTTTGTTTATTATTTTGTTTATTCATTAAAAGTAAATATTTTGACAGATCTTTAATCCCCACTAATTTTTCACAATCAACTTGTTATTAATTTGAAGAATTTAATTTGAAAAAAAAATCTTAAAATAGAAACAGGTAATATACAAATTTTCTTATCAAGGTTTATTGTTTTTTTTTTTCTTTTTAAATATTGTCATTCTTTATTTCACAAGACTTAAAGAGGATAAATATAAAGTTCATTATTTACAAAATTAAATTTTTTTCTTTTTTTTTTAAAAGAAAAAGCTTTTTTGGCTTTGTTTAATTAAAGTTGAAAAATATATTATTAATAATTCTAACAAAATTTTGCATTAAATAATTACCTGATTCTTTAAATTACTATTTTCCAATGAAAAATGTGTTTTTGAATTCATTATTTTTGTTAAATTAATTTTAAAATCGGATTTTTTTTATTAAATAATTATTAATTAATTATTATTATTATTATATTTGAAAAAACTTTTTTTATATTTAATTTGATCACCATTTTTTTATTATTTACTTTTATTTAATTATTATTATTATTATGTTTTATTTTCATAAATGTAGCATCAACATCAACTAGAATTAGGTCGAAAACATTTGGAACAAACAATGCAACAATTGCAAGAGCAATTACAATTAAATCTCATTCAACAAACGCATTTACTGCAAACGGCAGACAAGAAAAAATCATCTGGACCCCTTCAACAACTTGCACTGCAACAACAACAACTTATACAACAACTTCAGATGACGCAGAGGCAATATCTTCTTCTTCAAGGTCACAATCATTCTTCGGGTCAGTAATTTTTCTCTAAATATAATGTTAAAAAAAAAATTACAAAAAAAATAATATTTCACTCAAAAAAAAAAAAAAAAAATATGAAAAAAAGCACCCATATTAGGCTTTTTGTGGAAACATATTTTTTACAGTATTGCAGAAAATAAATAAAATGGAAACATCACGATTTAAGAAGAAGCATGCAACAAAAATTCAAAGGTGAGTTGATGTTGGAGGCATCCTTTTTAATTCATTTATATAAAATATAAAAGAAAAAAAAAACCCTTTTGTGCACCTTTTCTAATTTTATATCCAGCCACCTTTTAATTCAAACCTTTATTTTTCTCACTTTTCCTATATCTCATAACCTGGGCAAAATTTTCCACGTAGAACTATTTTCGGTTTTTTCGGTGCGATATGTATCTCTTTCTTTTTTTGTTTTGATAAAAAGAGAAGAGAAACTTTCCTTTTCGACGCGTTAATCGCAGACTGACAAAAGAGGGGAGGAAAGAGTAAACGCACTGGTTCAATTTCAATTGTCGGAAATTCACGTGTGAAACAAACTTGCCCATTTTTTTATATCCTTATATTTTTATCCTTATATAACCTTATTTTCTAATATTGTTTCCCTCTTGCACATTCAATAACTGACTTTTATAAAAAAAAAAAAAAAATTTTCTTCCGTAAGCCTCCTCATCAACACACAAAAAAAAACCTTTGGATTTTTCTCCATGCATGTTTGCTTCACACGTGACGGCTTCCAAATACAATTTTCTCACACACTTTGCACTCGAAAAAAAACAATTTTTTTTTTTACACACATTATCAATTATGTGCACATCCCTTTTTTAGCCACAGTTTTCTTGTGCGTATCAAATTGATACAAGAATTAAGATCAACTCATGCAACGTTTTTGAATCAATATAAGGTATCAAATTGACCCAAATATTTGGATCATTTTCAAAAAATGATCCAAAATATGGGATCATTTTTTGATACCTGAATTGGTATCAAAGTATAACTATCATGGCTGGCATGCTCTTATTGACAAGTTTATTAATTCATTTATTCACTGCACTGAATATTAAGATATTAAAAATACTTTTATTATGAATTTTAAGAAAGAGAGAAGCGAAAACTTATAAATTGCGAGCAATTAAATAAGAAAAAATTTATTTCGAAATAAAATGAAATACACTAACCTTTATTTATGTTTATCACGTAAGATTTAAGTTAAGTTCACAATCACAACACTTGAAAATTTTTAATTATTTTTATGGTTCAAATAATTATCAATAATTTATTTATTATAAATGAACAAAATTTAAGCAATGCACGCTTGACAAATATTTCTAATGCGTTGTCAATTAATGCAATTAATAATTTCCTATTACACAATATCATAATCGACATATATGACATTTGTAAACAAACAGGGTTAGGAAACAAGAGCCCAAAATATGTTCGTCCAAAGCAGAGTTGGGTAGGATTGAAATTATGTCCAACAATAATTTTCAGAAAGTGTATGCATTTTCCAAATTCTCGCTATGTGCGCTCAGTTACAGGGATGCGCAGTTACGCGTAACTGAGAGTTTTTGACGTAATTTACGTCAAAAACGTAATATACGTATAAATCGTATGAAATGTATGAAACTAAATCAAGATGGCGGATTTAAATTTAAATCATTTACAAACATAACCTGATAACCAAACATAACCTTTTAATATATTATATATACACTGTAAAAAAAATTTTGTGTCGATTTACACGGATTTACACGCCGAATGTAAAATAACTTATTCAACAATGTTAATTTATTATGCTTTGTAAATTTATAACGTTAAACATTTTAATTTTACACTGCTGAACGTTGTGAATTCACACGGTTGTGTAATTTTACAATGTTGGACATTGGAAAGTATGGCCACATATGTATGGCCATACTTTCCAATGTCCAACATTGTAAAATTACACAACCGTGTGAATTCACAACGTTCAGCAGTGTAAAATTAAAATGTTTAACGTTATAAATTTACAAAGCATAATAAATTAACATTGTTGAATAAGTTATTTTACATTCGGCGTGTAAATCGACACAAAATTTTTTTTACAGTGCATGAATGGCATGAATACTAAAGAAAGGTTATGTTTACATATATCACAAATTCACAAATCGCCGCCATATTGAAAACGTAAATTACGTTTTGTAGAAAACGAGTGACGTATATAACGTACGTTATATACGTATGAAACTACACGTAATCTACACTACGTTTATTACGTGCGCATCCCTGCTCAGTTATCACGAAAAGGTTCTCAACCTGTTTATAAAAGTATAGTTTAGTTTCATTGATTGAAATATTAAATTTAAATTAACATTAAACATTTAATTTTAACATTAAACATTAAATTTCATTAGTTAAAACATTGCAATTAAGAGGTGAACGTGAAACAGACTATAGTTTTTCATGTTATTGATGAAGACAACGTTCGACACTCTTATCAGAAGTTCTAATTAATAGAATTTTCATTTGTCTGAACAAAGATCGCAACATTTGAATTTTTTTCATTATTTTTACAGTTCAAATTATTTTTGACAAAACTATTAAAAAATAATTATTCAGTTTTTTCCTATTTCAAAATTACATGTGCGTTAACCTTAAACGTGAAACAGAATCCTACCCAACTCTGCTTTGGACGAACATATTTTGGGCTCTTGTTTCCCAACTCTGTTTGTTTACAAATGTCATATATATGTCGATTATGATATTGTGTAATAGAAAATTATTAATTGCATTAATTGACAACGCATTAGAAATATTTATCAAGCGTGCATTGCTTAAATTTTGTTCATTTATAATAAACAAATCATTGATAATTATTTGAACCATAAAAATAATTAAAAATTTTCAAGTATTGTGATTGTGAACTTAACTTAAATCTTATGTGATAAACATAAATAAAGGTTAGTGTATTTCATTTTATTTCGAAATAAATTTTTTCTTATTTAATTGCTCGCAATTTATAAGTTTTCGCTTCTCTCTTTCTTAAAATTCATAATAAAAGTATTTTTAATATCTGAATATTCAGTGCAGTGAATAAATTAATTAATAAACTTGTCAATAAGAGCATGCCAGCCATGACAGTTATACTTTGATACCAATTCAGGTATCAAAAAATGATCCCATATTCTGGATCATTTCTTGAAAATGATACCTTATATCGAATCAAAACTTTGCATTCCAAAATGATACCATCAAGTTTACAGTGAAAGAGTGAGATTTTCATGAATTTCGCTATAATATACAGAAGCTGTAAAAATAGTTCTCAAGAGTCTAAAACGAGTGCGTATACTAATAAAATATTATTAATCACACATTCTTTTTCAAACATTAAGAAAATTGAAATACATTTGAGAAAAGAGGAAAAAATTTTTTGTAAAAAAAAAAGAAAAGAAAAACAAGCTTAGCAAGAATAAGTTCGAAAACTGTCAACAGGCTTGCAACAAACTGAGGGAATGCTTACGTGGAAGACCGAATCCCAAGATGGAACTGAATCACATCAAAATAATGCAGTCTCGAAATCTAATTCCGGGCTGAATGGTAAAAAAAAAATTGTGTTTCAAATTATATTTCTCTCTCTCTCTTTCTCAAAATATTTTTGTAAAGCACACAAATTCGTATAAATTTTATATATGAATTTGTGAATGTTAACATTTTACACTGTGTGTGGACCAATCATAGGACTTCTACATTCGACACTATCGAGTCGGCGTTCAGAAGTTAATGGAACAACTCCGTTAGATGAAAAACCACTAGACATCTCCTGTAACGACAAAGCCCACCCACTCTATGGCCATGGGGTTTGTAAGTGGCCTGGCTGTGAAGCAATTTGTGAAGACTATCAAGCATTCCTTAAGTAAGTTGAATAACTCATAAAATATACACAAATTTTCGGGTATCGAAAAAAAAATTCATTTTCCTATTTGTGGAATTTGCGACTTTATGCGTATAAAAAAAATATGCGACACACACTGAAGCTTTTGCTTTTTATAAGACGCAAAAAATTATAGGTTATGTCAAAAAAGACTGTCACTGAACACTACTACGCTTGCGCTACTACAACTTTTACATTAGGCCTAAGCAGAATTAAATTTCTAATCGTAAATCTTAAGCTTTTACATGAGAGAGAAAAGGATAGAAATATCTTTTGTCCTTTTCTCTCTCATGTAAAAGCTTAAGATTTACGATTAGAGATTTCATTCTGCGTTGGCCTAAAGGGGCTCTAATTTAAAATGCTTTAGGCTGCTTCCACAATAGCAAAATCGCATCGTCTTGAAGACGATGTTTTTAGGACGAGACGATGCGCGCGCATCCATTGCCAACTGTCGACAAAAAATTTATTTCCCGTGTTTCGCTATTCCTACAATTTCAGCTTCTAAATATTATTAAAATTATAAAAAAAAATTGTTTTGTTAAAGAAAATAAAAATTTTATATTGTCTAATATAAAATATTTTTTTTAAATTTTTAGTACACTTGAAATAAATTTTTTGTCGACAGTTGGCAATGGATGCGCGCGCATTGTCTCGTCCTAAAAACATCGTCTTCAAGACGATACGATTTTGCCTATGTGGAATCAACCTAATTTCCATAAAATATCCCTCAATTATTAAAATTTTCAGGAAATTTCACAAATTTTTTACTTGTTTTATTTTTATGTCAACGATTGTGAGTTGCGTCTAACTAACTTGCGTCAACCCTAGTCACAGAGATAACTTTCATAAACATAACCTACAATTTTTTGCTTTCTAAGTTTATTTTCGAATTTTTTTCTACTACACCCCATAATATACATACATAATTCATTACAAATTTCTCTCAAAAAATATATATATAGAAATAAAAAAAACTAAAAATAATCGCAAATGATTATATATATATATATACTTGAAATCCAGTGTATTTACTCTATTCCTTTATTTTTCATCTCATCTATATGATGATGACAAATATATTTCAATTTTTGAAATCAAAGAAAAGCAAGTCACAAGGGAGAGAGAGTGAGTCCTTTTTTTTTAAGCGAGAAAATTGTTCACGTCATCGTATCTCATTGACATCCTGTGCCTTCGGTCTTTTGTATTCCATCTCCTGGTTTTCGTCTTACAATTCCTAGTAATCACGTAGCCCGTCGCCGCCAACTCCCTCAAACAAGTCGTTACTTTAAAAAAAAAAAAGAAAAAAAAAAAACGCTAATTACCTTTGTCTCATTAATATTCACGACATTCGACCGCATCGTTATGCCTCCCAGTCTAATCCCAACCATCGCACCATCACATCTTTTCTCCGCGCGCACTCTCTTATTCAAGCCTTCCATCCGTTCAAGTTCCGACCTTCTTTGCCGCATCTTTGGTTTTAACCATCCCTCTCTCCCTCAAACCATATTCCTTTAGCTTCGCAAGACGTTGGTCCACTACGCAAAAGGATTATGGTAATCAAAATTAAAATGCTGTTGATTTTTTTTTAGAATGTCATTCGTCCCTGTCCTTTTTACTATATATATATAGATATATTATTAAGAAAGGTGGTGAGCATAACATAACCTCAAAATAAAAAATGATTTTTAATGCAAACAAAAATCAATGGAACTTTTATCGTTAACATAACCTATAATTCGTTCGCTTTTTAGATCACTTTCTTCGAAGCGCGTCACATATTCTTCTTTGTAATTTTTTAACGACATTGAAATAGGTTTGATAAAAAAAAATCATCTGTACCCTCTGCGGTTATTTTCGGGCTTTTCAAATCAAAAATATACACTATTTCCAAATAGCACCCCTTTCCTTTTTTCAAAAACTATCCATGAAAAGAAAAATTGTTTTTCTCAAAATCGACTATTCCATGATTTTGACTCAATATTATTTTTTAGTTTGAGGTTATGTTTATCTTACAGACGCCACCCTCCTTAAGAGTGTCGAACGGTCTCTGAAATTCTTAGGCATTTAATTATCGCCCTATAAAAACGGCACTGAACGTCAAAATGATAAACATTGATTTTAAAATACTTTTTCCTCGAAACGCGGACACTCTTTTCAAAATCGGAAAAAATACCAAGGATTCTTATCTTATAAATTTCTTAAATCCGAAAGATTGTGCAAATCTATACAAAAACGCGATTGTAAAACAAAAAGTAGAAAAGTAATAATTATAATGACAGCTTTATTACTTCCTGCAGTCGTTAGGTGGCAGAAGCATGCGCAGGGAGCACAATGTCACAGCTGTTATGATATTACTTTCCTACTTTTCATTTTACAATCGCATTTTTGTATAGATTTGCACAATCTTTCGGATTTAAGAAATTTATAAGATAAGGATCCTTGGTATTTTGTCCGATTTTGAAAAAAATGTTCGCGTTTTGAGAAAAAAGTATTTTAAAATCAATGTTTATCATTTTCACATTCAGTGCCGTTTTTATAGGGCGATAATTAAATGCCTAAGAATTTCAGAGACCGTTCGACGCTTTTTAGAATTAAAAGTTTATTTTCAATTTTTTAATTCCTACATTAATTTTGAATTTTTATTAAAATTTACTACTGTATTTGAAAATAAAATTTCTCAACAACAACAACAAAAAAAAAGGGTTTTTAATTCTCAATTTTCGACTTATTTCTAAATAGGCACTTAAATACAGAACACACGTTGGACGACAGGTCGACAGCTCAAGCAAGAGTTCAAATGCAAGTGGTTTCACAGCTGGAAATTCAGCTACAAAAGGAACGCGATCGGTTAACCGCCATGATGCATCATCTGCACGTGGCAAAACAAATGGCTTCGCCGGAACCACCAAAGTCATCTGAGTCGTCGGTGAGTATTTCATGGGAAAAATAACATTCCTTCTGAATTTTCACAATAATATGCTGATATCGTTACAATATTGTTGGAAAAGAAATATTATTTTGATTTCAAAACAAAATATGTACCTACTTTCTTAGAAAAATAATATTAAAAATAATAATAATAATTTCCATTGTTTCAAATATTACATCATTTTTTTCGAACCGAATTTAATAATTAATTCCAACTTTTTTATATATATATATATATAATATAATCTATTATTATCATCAATATAATATTAATTAATTAATATCTTATTTATTTTTATTATCGTTACGTATTTTCATTAAATTATTATTAATTAATTATCTGTGATATATATACATATATATTTTTTAAAAAATGCAACGAAACTTTTTCGAAATATATTTGAATATATAGATGCAGTATAATCATACATAATTAATTAATTAATAATAATTTATTAAAAATAATGATAATAAAAATAAATCATTAATTAATATTATATTGATGCTAATAATAATAGCTTATATATTTTATTAAAAAAATAATGATAATAATGATATAAATATAATAAAATTATTATTATTTTTATATACTTAAATACATTAAGGAAATTAATATTTTTTATTAGAAATCAATATAATTAACAAAAAAATAAATAAATTCAATAGTGAAAATATTTTTTTATTGCTTTCTTAACGTTTTCTTATGATTAAGTATTTTATATAAGCGCGCTTTTTTCGACCTATAAAGGCACTCTCACAGCTTTTTGGCTGCCTGCAGGTTACCATGGCAACGTACGAGTGTGAGTGAGACAGAAAATTTGAATATTCAAATTTTTAAATTTTCTGTCGCACTCACTCTCATGCGTTGCCATGGTAACCTGCAGGCAGCCAAAAAGATGTGAGAGTGCCTTAAGAGAGTTGTCGTAGCGCAAGCGCAGTTGCGTTTAAGTAGCGTCAGTGGCAACCGACAATAAGGTTATTCAAGTTGGGTGGGGGAAAGCCAAGATGGTTGCTTGCTGGTGCACCTGTCAGCCTATCAGCATTCATTCCCACGAGAAATTTCTCGTGGGAATGAATGCTGATAGGCTGATAGGTGCACCAGCAAGCAACCATCTTGGCTTTCCCCCACCCAACTTGAATAACCTTATTTTCGAACGTCGCGCGCAGCTATAGCAGACGTTTCACAATAAATAAAATGCAAAAAAGAAAAGAAACATTGTTTAATAAATTCTGAGTTAACTATTTCGAATCACCTCATTTTTCTTGTGCGGCATTAAAGCTTGAAAAATAAGGAAAATTTTGATCTTTAAACCAATTTATTTGATGGTGCAGAAAAAAAGTGAATTTTTTAAATTATTTATTGTTATATTTTTTAAATAAACAATTATTTTTACTTAAAAAGTGATTATTTTGGACCTTTATATTAATGAATATTTAAAAAAAAATGTTTCATTTAATTTGGAAAGGTTACTTCGAAAAGTAATAAAAAAAAAAACTCATGGAATGGCATAATAAATAAATTAATTTTTACATATAAATATGTAAATTTTGTTAAATAAAAAGTGAATGGAAAAAAATTCTACTCCATAAAAAATTCGATGCAAAAAAATTTAGTAAAATAAAACAAAGGTGGAAGGAAAATTCCACAACTTAAAAAATCGGATCAATAAAAATTATCATTTATAAAATTTGACTGTAAAAATTCAACCTTATATAAAATTTGATCCCTGACTAGAAATTAAAATTACATAAGTTTTAGAAAATATTCAATGTTTCTAATTTTTTTTCTTCTTCGTATATTTATCGCATTTCCTGTTTTTGTTATTTTGTGCCAAAAAAAGAAAAAATAATAAAGATCAAAGAGTTTTAAAAAAAAAACGACACACACAGAGCAATGATAGTTCCATGAACGTCTGTTTATGTTCCAAAGTATATATATATAATATCACCGCACATATTATATATATATATATTTATGTATGATGTGTAAAATCGTAAAGTGTGGCCCTTTTCTAGAGAAACTATAATTATGACGAGTCGATGCTGGAAAAATTTTACGAGTTCTCTTTGCGTCGTCGTTGTGGCTTCAATTGGCAAACAACGCTAGTTTCAGTTTTAACGCGCCACGCGGACCCGAGTGCTAATTTATACATGAAGTTGATATTAATAATTCATCGCCCCGGCGATTTATATCGCCTTAATTAAAACCCCTAACAAGTTAGACAGTCAGAGAATACCCAATATTGCAGTAGCTCTCAGCAATATCTTTTCTCAAGCACAAAATAATTACTGCGTGGTGCTCGCGATCCTCAAAATTTTCGCCTCTTCAATTATTTAACCCGGTGAAAAATATGTCCTAACTTTTTAAACAAGGTGGCAATTTATAATTTTTCTAATTATCATTTTTTTAATAATTTTTTATACTATTTTAATGGTATTATTATTATTTAATTTATTTTTATTTAAATTAGAAATTTTATGAATCAGGAATTTTTTTAAAATATTCTAGTCAAAATTTTTGTACATTTTTGTAAATTTGTAATTTTTTTTTTATTAATTAAGAATTATTAATTTTATTTTAGTAGTAATAATTGTAACAATTGTAATAATTTTTACCTCCTCAATTATTTAATTCGGTGAAAAATATGTCGTAATTTTTTAAACAAAGAGGTAATTTACAATTTTTCTAATTATGATTTTTTTTTAATAATTAGAGACTAATAATTAATTTTATTGTAATAATAATAACAATAATTCACGGTGCGCCAGAAGGTGGTTTAAATAAAAATGAATTGGCACTTAAAAATTCTTTTTGATTATGATTCTAAGATGAATAAAAAACTTTTCTCAATAGGTTTTAAAATCAGCTTACGTGCCCGAATTAAATAAAATTGAGTTTTTATATAAAAACAGTGTTTTATGGGGAATCAGAATTTATTTAATCTAATAAATACTGTAATAAATGATAAAATAATTACTTATTTTCAATTTTACATATAAATAATTATATTGCTGTAGTGTTTGTGTCCGATTTTAAAAAATTAAATTATAATGTTAAAAGAACGATTTTAAGAGTGACAAAATTTTATTTAAGAGAGTCGAATGATCTCTGAAATTTTTTAGCAAGAAGAGACCTTTAATTATCGCTCTATAAAAACGACACTAAACGTGAAAATGATAAACATTGATTTTAAAATACTTTCTTCTCGAAAGACGGACACTTTTTACAAAAGCAGCTAGAGATCCTTATCTTGTATAAATTTCCTAAATCCAAAAGATTATGCGAATCCATACAAAAACATGATTGCAAAACGAAAAGTAATATAATGAGGGGTTCATTACCTCCTGCCGCCGTCAGATGGCAGCAGCATGCAGGGCGCACAAAGTCGCAGCTGTTATTAGATTACTTTTCTACTTTTTGTTTTGCAAACATGTTTTTCTATGGATTCGTACAGTCTTTTGGATTTAGGAAATTTATAAGATGAGGATTTTGGCTGATTTTGTTAAAAGTGTTCGTGTTTCGAGAAAAAAAGTATTTTAAAATCAAAACTATTTCACTTTCAGAGCGATAATTAAAGCTCTCTTCTTGCCAAAGAATTTCAGATACCGTTCGACACTCTTAATGCATAAATATAAAAACGAAACAAGAAAATAACTTCATTGTTAATAAATTTATATGAACCCAAATCTAAAACATCTATTATCTATACACATATAAGTATACATTAAATAAATTCTGATTCCTCATAAAGTACTATTTTTAAATATTTAAAACTCAATTTTGTTTTAAATTGGGCACGTAAGCTGATGATTTTAAAACCTATTGAGAAAAGTTTTTTTATTCATCTTAGAACCATAATCAAAAAGAATTTTTAAGTGCCAATTCATTTTTATTTAAACCTCCTTCTGGCGCACCGTGAATTGTAAATTAAATAAATTTCCAAACAGTGATAAATGATTTTTTTTTCCTTTTCACAGACGAGTTCGAGTTTACCAAAGTTAAGTTTATCGTCCGCCCTAATGAGTCAACCACCGCCAAATTTTGGAGTATCGCAAGTGTCTCCAGTTTCCATGTCCGCATTGGTGTCAGCAGTGAGGTCACCTGGAGGACAATTACCACCTTCGGCCGGTGGTACACCATTGCCACCAATTCCTAATATGTCGACTATGACCGGAATGCCACCAATGCCCAATATGCCCGGTAGTATGACTAGTATGGCTGGACCCATAAGAAGAAGGATCAGCGACAAGTCTGCTCTTTCACTAACAGGAGGTAAGCTTTTTTTTCACATGCATCTTGTTATAATCAAACAAGACTTATGAAATTTATTTATATTACAAAAAAAAATTTTTTTTTTCTATTTTTATCTATGCAATATTGTAAAATTTACCGAAAACTAATATATATTTTCATTTTGAAAAATAATTTTTCCGAGCAATTACAATTTTGAATTTTAATTTTAATTAAATTTTACTTATTACATTCATACTTTTTTAAAGTTTCAATTTACTTTCAATTTACAGAATTTATTTTTAAATTTTTTATCTACGCAATTTTATACAATTTATTGAAAATTGAAATTTTATTTTTAATTTTTTTTTTATCGAGCACTTGCACTAAAAGAATTTATTTTTTAAACTTAAATTTTTTTATTTACATTTTTGTTCGATGAATAAATAGTAAAATTATTTTACTTACATAAAAAAAACTTACAAAAAAGATGCTTGTTATGAAAAATTAATTTATATGTATATATAAAAATTAGACTTGTTTTTACAAAAAATGTTTATATTTTATTTTGTTATAAATTAGATGGATTTCATACGAAACTAACTTTATCATAATTTATTATTATAAAATATTTATGATAAAATACCTTCTTTCGAAGCTGATGAATATTCCCTAAAAATCATAATCCATTATTATGATAAATAAAATACAAAATTTCATAAAGTCAAATTTTTAATTCAACGAATTATATATTTATTTATATTTTATAGAGTGGAACTTTTATTTAACCAAATTTTTAGAAAACTGAATTTTTATTTGAACAAATCTTTATTTAGTAAAATTCTCATTAAACAGAATTTCGTCTGAACCGAATTTTTATAAATAAAAGAATTTTCATTTTTCTGAATCTTCATTTGTCAAAATTTTTATTTTCATAAATTGCCAATTAAAAATTTTCAAAATTGTTATTAAACTGAATTTTAAAGAGGGGGGGGGGGGTATTAATGAAATTTGAATCCATTTAAATTTACGCTATTTACACAAAAAAAAACAATTTTTTGATTCAAATAATAGGTTACTTGATTATTATCAAAAAAATATTTATTTATATTAAATAATTATTATTTAAGTCAATTAAATGATATTTGTTTTAAATGCAGAAATTATTGGTTAAAATACAGTTTATTTAATTCAATTATTTGGTTTCAAAAATTATTTGGTTCAAGTAAATATTTATTTGATAATAGCCAAGTAACCGGTTATTTGGATCAAATAAATTTTTTTTAAATGTAGAGCTGTGAATTTATTTTACATGGAAAAATAGAAAAAAAGTTGTATTAGTTATTAAATTTTTTAATAAAACTCGAAATTATGGAAAATTCAAATTTCTCTTATAATTTTTATTATTTTTCATTAACAACTTTTTTTTACTCTTTTCTCATGATTTCAATTTTAAAACATTTAAATTTTTTCAATAAATAAAATTTTGAAACTTTTTTTTTATTGAAATTTAACTGATGATCTTTTTTAAAAATTCAAACTTTGAAAAATTTTTTTTTTTCAAAATTCAATTGTTCTCCAATTTTTATTTTTTTATCGTTAGTATTTTTTTTTATAATTTTTTCCTAATTCCGAAAAATTAGGCGTATGGATTTTTAAAAATTTAAATTTTTACAAAAAATTCAACATTTGCAAAAATAATTTTTTTTAGATTCTAAAATAATTTTAGACTGCAATTTAGTGTAGAATTTTTATTTGCCCCACAGAAACATTGGAGATTGAATTTTAAAATTATTCAGAAAATATTGTGATTTTTCGATTTTTAAATTTGCGCCGAAATCTTTTTGTGATTATAAAAATTCTATGAAATGATATAATAATTTGTGAAAATAAAAATTCGGACAAATGAAGATTCAGTAAAATTGAAATTTCATCATATAAAAAGTTCGACTTAGTCGAAATTCGTTTAAATGAGAATTTTGCAGAATTAAAAAAGTTGCTTTAAAAAATAAAAATTGGACTAAATAGAAATTTTGTTAATTAAAAATTCTGGTAAATAAAATTTTTGTTGAATAAAAATTCTGATAAGTAAAAAAATTTTTAATTAAAAATTCTACGATGTGAAAATTTGGTTTAATATTAATTCGAAAAATTTGAATTAATGAGTTTTAGGCAATATTCATTAGTCTCATTTCTTTTTTTTTTTTTTTTGTTTTTAATTGCAAAATTTTAATTTTTTGATATAAACATATATATATTGAATACTTATTAATATTGCTTTCTAAATTTAACAAAATGTCTAACAAATTTTTGGCACAGCTTTTGGTAACGTATTATAGTTTCCAAATCCAATTCTGGCTTGTTATACATATATATATGAAATTTTGCAAACACTTGAAATAACTCTTAATAAACATAAATAATTACCATCTTTAGAAGTTTTACATTCTACATATATATAAAAAAAAAATAGAAAATTATGTCTCGTTCGCGTCGACAAGATGAAAAATGATCAAATTGAGAATTAAATACTATTCGTAGGACTGTTTGAGGAGGGCACTGTAAGGCGCAGAGTATCCGTCGATAGATCTGGATTAGATATTAACGAAGGTAACGATATTCACTGAAAAAAAAATCAGGGTGATGCTCGTTTCATGAAATGCCTCTTAATTTTTTTATTTTTTATTAAAAACAATTTCTAATTTCTTTTCTAAAATTATTCTTTAATTTTATAATTTAGTTTAGTTTTTTAAATTACAAAAAAAAAATTCAATTTTCTTCTTTTTTTCAAATTTTTAATTTAACTTTTTTTGTTATACTTTCAATTAAAAGTTATTTTAATGCAATTAAAAATTATATTTGGCATTTCATGACAGGATGTCGTCTCTTTAAAAAAACGAATTTCAAAAATAAAGCCATTAACCCTGACCAGATTTCCCGTAGTAATTGCACTTTACGGTCCTCTCTTGGTCTCTCTTTTATCCCGTCTCGTAAATTATTCTATGCGTGCACATTCGTAAACATTATAATCACTCGGTTTCACGTAAATTTTTTTGCAAAAAAAAAAAAAAAAAAAAAAAATTGGCATTCGACACCTTGTTGGCGACGTAAACGAACAATTAATTTTTACACGTAAAAAGTGAAAAAATATTTAAAAAAAAAAAAAAAAAATTTGAGATTATGTAGCGCTTTTTGAGCGTTATACTTTTTTTCACACAAGAAATTGAATTTTTTTCTTACCGATGGTTCTCTTGTTTCTTCATTTCTTGTGCTGCCCGCCCTCCCCACCGTGTAGGGCTGCCCTACATGCTGGAGCGTGCTGGCCTAGACGTCCAACAAGGTACTGTCAAAACTTACCTTTTTGCAGTAGCTTCAAGAGAATCGTTGAAAAAATTTATTGTTTTTTGCATGTCCGCAAGCAAAGATTGCGAATGAAACACATTTGAATAATTTTTGTTTTTTTTTTTTTTTTTGCCTCTTTTGTCACAATTCAAAAACTTTTATGATTCAATGAAAATCAGCAAATAAACATACAGGAAGTTATTCTCGCGAGAATTTTAATGAAATTTTGCAAAATTTTTGTTATTTTAATAAATAAATTTTAAAAATATTTTAATTAACTTGGGAAAATATGGAAATTTGTCATGGAAACGAAATTTTTTTTTTAATTTTGATATGTTTGATTATTTTAATCATTTTTATTTTATTTTCATATAAAAATGTTTTAATTAATTAATAAAAATTTTTATATTATTTTTATATAATGCTTGTAGATTTTTATTTTTAGTTCTAAAAATTTGCAGAGTTTTATTAAAATGCGCAATACTTCTGTAAGTTTATATGCTACATATAAATAATTAATAGTAGTGATAATAATGATGTATATTATTGGTATATAGTATTTAATTTATTGTGTTGTAAATTGCATATAATAAATATTATTAGAAATATTGCATGATATTTACATGGGACAGAATGGACTACAGTGGATCATTTTAATTTTCTAAAATCAGAAAATATTGGCATATTTTGTTTCTTTTAAAAAATGTTCAGATTTATTTAAAATTATTGTAATTAACCCCTTAGCAGTCGAGGCCAAAATCTCATAAGTATGGGCCAAAATGTCAGTAAATTTTTGAATGACCAAAATTTGTGCAAATGTGTATACTATGGTATTTAAGGTCGCTGATTACGATTCCAAAGTCAGATTTTAAAAATTCAAAATGGCCGAGCCAATATGGCTGACGATTTTTCAAAAAATGGTAAAAATGATTTTAAAATACTTAAAAATTGTTACTCGGGGGTTTTTGGGGTCGCTGATTACGAATCTAAAGTCAGATTTCAAAAATTCAAAATGGCGGAACCAATATGGCTGACAATTTTTTCAAAAAATGACAAAAATGATTTTAAAATACTTAAAAATTATTACTCAGGGGTTTTGAGGGTCGCTAATTACGAATCTATAGTCAGATTTCAAAAATTCAAAATTCAAAAATGCCACCAATGTGGCAGATAATTTTCTAAAAATTTAAAAATTAATTAAAATTACTTAAAATCTGTTACTCAGGGGTTTTGAACGTCGCTGTTTACGATATTCAAGTTAGATTTTGAAAATTCAAAATAGCATAGTATGGGTGTGATTATTATTGTATCCATTTTGAATTTTGAAATTTTGTAATTCTGACATCAAATTCGGAATCAGCGACCCCAAAAACCCCCGAGTAACGAGTTTCAAGCGAATATGGTCAATTTTCAAAATTTTTAGTCGCCATATTGGTTCCGTCATTTTGAATTTTGTAAATCTGACATCAAATTCGGAATCAGCGACCCCAAAAACCCCCGAATAACGAGTTTCAAGCGAATATGGTCAATTTTCAAAATTTTTTTGGTCGCCATATTGGATCCGCCATTTTAGATTTTTGGATAATTGATTATTGTCAAGAAATACACCAGCTAAAACTTTTTTTGGAGTTAAAATAACAAAAAAAAAGAATTAATGACAATAAATTAAATATGAGCATATTATTTTTTATCGTCATTAATTTTTTTTCATTATTTTAACTCAAAAAAAAGTTTTAGCTGGTGTACTTTCGGACAATAATCAATTATTATAATGGAATAAGCATTTTATTTTCTTGTTTTCAAGTAAAAACCGTGGAAACTTTTACAAAAAAAGACCTACCCTTAAGGCCAGGTCCAAGTCGTGTCAGCTGTTCCATTGAAACTTCAAAGGAACAGCTGACTCGACTTGGACCTGGCCTTAAGTTAAGGATTTTTAAGTTATATGCGACGTTTGATTTTCAGAAGAACATGTATAAATTCGAAAAATTGAAATTTTTATATATTTTTTCATTGTACAATCTTAATACGTGTGAATTATTTAGAAAAATGTATATAACTTTTGTAAAAGTATAAAAAAAAGTGCTCAAAAATTTTTTAATTAAAATATTATTATGACTTCGAAAAAAAAAGATCCACTTGTTGTCCACTCTCCCTTATATATTAAAAAATTGAGTTAAAATTGCAAAAAAAAACATGAAATTTTATTAGTTTTTCTAAAAAAAAAATAAACTTTATAAATTTTGAAACATTCAAATATTTACATTTTTTTCAATAATCTTCCATTATAGTGAAAAAAATATAATATTCTTTTTTTATTGAAAAAAAAAATTCTGCATATTTATCGTTGGAAAAAAGTTTAATAAATATAATTGAATTTCGGTATTGACATTTTTTTTTTATCTATATTATATAAATTGTTTTAAGAAGATTATCTTCACTTCCAAAGCTTAAAAAACCAATATATATATAATAATAATATCCTGTGCATTTAGAAAGTCTGCTTATTTACACCGCAATTATAAACATGCAAAAAGACAGTGCGAGTCTTATAAACATTATATCATTGCGTTAAAGGCCATTAGCACATATACATATATATATTTATATTGGCATTATTTACTTTAGAATTTATACCAAGAAAGTTTCATTATTTTTACAGAAATTCAACGTAATAGGGAATTTTACAAAAATGCCGATATAAGACCACCATTCACGTACGCTTCTTTAATTCGACAGGTGAGTGAATGTAATTAAATAGAAATTCGATCTTGGCACAGTTTGAGAAAATGCGACAAAAAAAGAATTAAAAAAAAATTTTTGTAATATATCTTTGTCTGTAGCCAAATATTGACATGGAAGGTATATAGGTTACTTTTTATATAATTATATTTAAAAAAAGCATTATTTTTTAATTTTTACAAAATTTTTTATTATCTAATTAATTTTTCATTTTACATTATTGAGAGAAAGATAATTTTTTTTTTCTTTTTTTTATATTGATATTCATTATTTTTTATATTACAGTCGATAATCGAATCCCCGGAAAAGCAGCTGACATTGAACGAAATTTACAACTGGTTTCAAAATACGTTCTGCTATTTCCGACGCAACGCAGCTACATGGAAGGTATATCTTAATATATCCTAATTAATTAAAGAATTAGGACTTAAAATTTTGAGCTTGCAAAAAAATATTTTCGCTTCAATAGCAAATTTTATCTCATAGCCTTTTTTTTAAATCATTATAAATATATATGGCTTTGACTGAAAAACTTTGCTATTTAAATGAAAATAGAAAAAAAAAAAATTTTTTTTTTTGCTTTTCTAGGGAAATATTTTGTTAGAGAAGCAAAAAAAAAAAATTAATTTTGTCTTCGCTTTTCATATTTTTTTTTTTTTTGAAAAAGAAAAATATAAAAAGCGAATTTATTTCTTTCCGTGAGACATCGCTGCGTTAAAATTAGTTCAAGAAAGGTAATCTGAAAGCAGGATAGGGAACGCTGCTCTTTCACTTGTTGGTAAAGTCCTTTGCAAAGTTTCTTTTGAAAATATATAATAATTGTTAATAATTTTATATATATATATATATAATGTACGAATTAGACAAAAAAATTAAATTTCAAAATTGAATTAAATTATATTCTCAAAAAAAAAAGAAAAAAAAATTGAAAAAGAACAAATTAATGCATTTTTAGAGGAGATTTTGTTCTAAAGTGATTTTGTCAAGAAGAGAAAGCAGTTTTCCCGCAGGATGGATTAAGAAAACAAAAATTGGTAATAGAAATTGAGAATATTTATGGCATTTGCAGTCGTCATTATATAATTTGTTAGGTTCTATGTTTTATATAGAATAGAATATTCAAACTCCAAAAATCGTATCTTGCGTAAAAAAAAGGAATCCAAATAACAAAATTTCAGTTAGCAAAAAAAAAAACAATTACTACCTATTTCGGATTAATTTTTGATATGAAGATTTAAAAAGAAAATTTAGACTCAAATTATAGACATTAAAAATTAATTGAAAGTGCTATTTTCAATTAACAGGATCCAGATTTCAATGGATAAAGCTGATTCTTATTATGAAGCTAATCTATAACGTTTCTTCCATTATAGGAAAGGATTCGGTAACTCTCGTAGTGCATTATCAGTTCATTTCTGCTATTGCTTATTATTTTTCTTTTATTTTCTCTTAAATTAAATTTTTTTATATATTTTTTTTTAAGAGAAAAATTTTCAATTATTTTTTTTTAATTATTTAATAAAAAAAAAAAAATGAAAATTTAAAAACGAAATTTAAGGAAAACAATTTTCTTATATGGAAAAAAAAATCGTCTCACGCGCGAATGTATGAAAGTATATTTGACATTAATGCGAGAGAGTGTGAGAAATTGACGTATGCTATTTAAAGCTTTGCCTCGCATGAATCTGTGTTGATGAAAATATTATATTATATGATATATATAAAAAAAAAACAGGTTACCTTGAGCAGCAGCCGGGGCATTATCATCTGAAAGAATATGGATCATCATGAGAGAGAAAGAGTAGATCAACTTTAGGTTATCTGACATGTTCAGCCCTGCGGCATGAAATTGTTGTTTAGTTCTAGTTATTTAGTTGTGCATTAACAAATACGAGAATGCCTCAAAATCGTGCCTCTTTCAATTAATCGTTTTAGTTATTATTTATTCTTTTTTTGCCACATTTTTTTTTTATAAACAATATTACTATATACTAGTACTTGTATACACTATTTTTTTTTTATATAATGTGGGCGATTCTCCAAAACGAGGGAATACCAAATTTTAAAATTTCGTTTAAATTACATATTAGACATTTTATGAAGCAGAAGCGAAGCAAAAAATGTGCCTTTAAAATTTTTTGTCAAAATAAGTAATAAATATGACATTTTTTACACTTTTTATATTTATTTATATCTAATTTAAAAGATGATAAAGATAAAGAAAGTTTCTAGGTGACTAATTTTATTTAAATTAAAAATTGACCAACGCAGAATGAAATCTTTAATCGTAAATCTTAAGCTTTTACATGAGAGAAAAAAGGACAAAAGATATTTCTATCCTTTTCTCTCTCATGTAAAAGCTTAAGATTTACGATTAAAGGCCCGAGCAGAATAGAAACGTAATAGGAATCATAATCGTAAACACAACCGGAAAAATAAGTTAGAGAAGGACAAAAAATCTATCTATCCTTCTCTAACTCATTCTTTAGGTTGCGTTTGCGATTTTGATTCCGGTTACGTTTTTATTCTGCTCAGGCCTTAAAGGTTTCATTCTAGGCCTAATACCAATGACTGTCAATAAACTCAACAGCGCTTGCGCTACTATAACTTTTTCATTGGTAGAAAAAAGGCGCTCTTATTTAAAATGTTTTAATATAAGAAAATGTTTAGCAAAACATTAAAAAAAAAAAATCTTAAGTATTAAATTTATTGTTTTTATGTTTCGTTATAATGTTTTTTAATCAAAATTAATTTGTATCAACTGTGTTAAAATTATTATTAAGTTCAAATAATTTTAAAAGCCATGTTTATTATTATTATTACTATTATTATTGTCTATAAATTTAAAAGTTGATTTTTATAAAAAAAAATGTTATCAGTTAGTAAAAACAATAAATTTTGTGACTTACAATTTTTTTTTATTATTTTCTTAACATTTTTTTGAATAAAGCATTTTAAATAAAAGCGCCTTTTTCTACCAATGAAATAGTCATAGTAGCGCAAGCGCAATTGTGTCTCGTTGTCAGTCGTTGGTATCTTTGAGGTTAGTTTTCCATTTTATTTTGACAGCTGAAGAGGCTGAAAATACTTTCTTAATAAAAATCTCGTCACTGTCTTTAAAATAATATTTTGTAGCGTAATCAAGTATAACTATATTTGATGCCAAAAGTTGTTCAGAATGCAAAAAACTATAAAATCCTAAAGTTATAAAAAAATCGACTGAGAGCCAAAACTAATGTAAATCTTGCGCGGTCCTTAATAAAAGAAATCGAAGAAATCTAATTTCCGATTACAAAAAAAATTCTCTCTCGAAAATGACCAGTTTTTGGAGAATCACCCATATATATATTTATATATATTAACGCCGCGATTAATATTTATCCTCACCAATTATATTTTAAAATTTAATAAGTATATATAAATATTTAATCCATAATTTTGCACCGCATTAGTAACCATAATTTAATTTAGAAATGCCACAAAAAATTATTTTTTCAAATAACTAATTTTATTATCATCAATTTTGAAAAAAGATTTATTTTTTTTAATTTTTAACAAAATAAAAAAATATAGAGAGTTAAGAAAACAATTTGATAGTAAAAAAAAAAATAGTGGCAATGCCAATAACAAAAAAAAAAGAAAAGAAAGAAAATCCTGCGAAACTCCTTCCTGGCTCCTTGAAGAGGATGCTTTTCTGATTTAATGAGTATCAAAATCCTGATGACACATTGTTGCTGGTGCCGTGTTTATTATTCATCGTTCGATCTTCGAGTCGTGATTGAGTTGGCTTCATTAGTTTTTTGCGTTGCTTATTTAGTCTGTGTATTATTTTGTATAGAACGCAGTACGACACAACCTGTCTCTCCACAAATGTTTCATGCGAGTCGAAAACGTGAAAGGGGCCGTTTGGACGGTGGACGAAGTGGAGTTTTACAAGAGACGTCCTCAACGCGCTTGCAGCACTACTGGGTACGTTAGCCCCACACGCGCGATTTTTTCATTTTTTTTTTTTTTTAATTCTCTTTATTATTCTTCCTCATCTTTTTTATATATCTATTTTTTTTAATTATCAAATCCAATCGTTTCAAACAAAAAAAAAAAAAAAAATCACGATCAAAACCGAATATATTTGCTACATTTACACTATTAAAAAAAACACACACACACAACATCGCTTATCATAATATATATACAATTTTATATTCCTCCTACTTTTTCCTTATCCTTTCATTCAATTCATAATTTCATATTTTCTCTTTCTCTCTTTATCTCTATTTCTCTTTTTCTCTCATTCTTATACTTTCTCCTGTATTACACTGAATAATTTCACTCTTATAATAAATACATGATGTATTTTGCTTACAATTTTTTTCATATATACAAATTATATATATTATTACAATTTTTATATTCTATTTTTAATATTCTATTTTAAATTACTATTTTAATATTCTATTTTTACTATATATATATATATTTATAATTAGTCCGTATTTATGTGTGTATATTATATATTTATTTGTGTCTATATTTATAAACAATTTTAGCTCTTATTATGCTCCTCTAGGTATAATTAATTATATAAAAAATGCTCAGGTGGTCGTCACCTTATTGCGATTTTTCATCTTTTTTGCTTTTTTTAGATTTTTCTATCTCTTCTATATCTTTTTTCTCTCGTTATTCTAGTGTGTGATTTTTTACTTATTAAATATTTATTATATATTTATATATTTATAGTTGATAAGATTTATATATTATGTATTTGTCAACACAATCACGCCATTTTTATCTTTAATTGTCGCTTATGTCTTTTCGTGTCCGTCTGTTTGTATGTCCGTTTGTTTGTTTTTTTTTTTATATCATGTCATGTTTCGTAAAAAAATGGAAACTATTTTTTTTAATTACTTTAACAAATACATATATATTTTTTCATCTAAATTCATTTAAAAATTTTAATTAAAAAATTTATGAAAAATGTTTTGCAATTTTTTTGTTTGGAAAAAAATTTGATTGGAAAAATTTTCACCAAAATGATAATACTTTGCATTATTCGGTAATTATTATCTCTAATAATTAAAGACAACTTTCAAAAGTTTAAAACAATTCTGGATTATAATATTTTTAACTTTTATTCTTATTAAGGAGGTTATAGCGGAAATAGAATTAACATTATAGGAATTTAATGAAACTTGGTCCACTATTAGATAAATGTTTGAAAATTATGTAGCTAAATTTTTGAGACCTCTAGGTTCTAGGTTTTTTAACAATTAACATTGAGTCTTATGGGAATTGAGTACTTTTTCATACATATTTACTCACCACAAAGTAATTAACATTAGGAAATTGATGTTTCTTTTAATACAAAACAGATATATAATGATTAAATATCTGTTTAAAAAAGTGTCATTAGGTTCTTGTGGGAGTTGTCATAAATTAATTTTTAACAATATTTCCCGTTTTATAGGTTAAATTGAAAAGTTGTCAGAACGTCTAGCAACGTTGAACACTTGATCATGCGCGTTATACGTTAAATTTGCGCGCTAAATTTCAAAATATTGATTCTGATAGCTTAAAGTTGAATGTAAACAAGTCACAGCAACAAGCGGTGTTGCCAGACGTTTTAAAGTACCGATCAAGTCAAATCATAAAATAATGGCTTCTGTTTTGATTAGTTCAGTCAATCCCTATGTTAAATTTATTGTTCTTATGTTTTTTTAAAACAAAAATTAATTTTTTTAAAATTATTTTAAGATTTTTATTAAATGGAAATAATTTTTAAAGTTTTAACTAATTATTATTATTTATAAATTTAAAAACTTTTTGTGATAATTAGTTAATTAACTTACTTTAATTTAAAAATTTATTTTTATAAAAAAAACTATTTTAATAGTTAAAAAAATTATGCCTACTGAAAATTAATTTCAAAACAATTAATAAAAATTAATTTTGTTAAATTTCTTTCAGACTGTTATTATAAATTTGTTAATGATGTTTAGAGGCCTTTTACAGTTAAGATGTTTATTTATTGGTTGACATAACGTTGATTAATTTATTTAATTTAAAAAATTAAAAATTCATTATTTACCATGAATTCTTAAATTTGAATTTTTCAAATTTTTAATTTTTTAAATTAAATAAACTAATCAAATTAATAGATTAAAATAATGTGATCGAACACGTGGTAAGTCTTTCATTCTTTTAATTTTAATAATTTAACATTCTAATTTAATAAATAACAATCGAAATCTTTTTATTTATTACAGATTTTGTTTTACTTACGTGTATGTCTTATGTTTGTTATACTTATACTTATTTGAAAAGTGCATTGACTTACCTGATGTGGGCTAAATAGCCGAAACATGTAGTACACGGAGAAAAATGGATACTTAAATATAGTATCCAAAATATACTTAAAAAATTTTTAATTGAATCTAACATCTATATACTCAAAAATAGTATCTTAGTAAAAAAATATATATTCAGATTTAGTATCTCTAGATATTTAAATGTAACATAAGCGCTTGCGCAAAAGTCACGCCGCACTGCTATATTCAATTCGAAAAACTAACCTAAAATCTCTGTGTTTCACACGTGTAGAAAATCGTTGACAAGTGTATAATATATATATATATAATCAACAAAAAAATTTTGAGATTCCAAAATATGTTTAAAAAATTTGTATTTCAAGTTTGTTTATAATTTTATTCCTTATTATGATCGAAAAACTGATTTATTCCATGAAATAATGAGAATAATTGATTGAAATTGATATAAATACCGAAACTTTTATTTTTACATAAATATAATAATCGTGAATTTCTTTCTTTCATTCTGTCCACACCTGAAGTTGGTTGTTCTTGCGTTTGTTTCGTTTATAGGTTTTGACTTTTGACAATTCTAATTGTGGTTAACGTATGTTTTTTTTGTTTACATTTTTCCACGTTCATCAAGATTAAGGTTATTCTTAATATTTTATATATAAAAGGTAAATAAAATTAAGATTCTTCTTTATAAAGTTAAAAATTTTTTAAATTTGACATTTTTAAGAATTACTTTTTAATAATTTATGTTATTTTAACAAATTTTGTGACATTTAAGCATAGTTTTAAATTCTTTATTTATTATTGTTTTTTAAAATAAACATTCTAAATTAATTTTGTACTATAAATTTAAAATTGCATATGAATTACTAAGAACAAATAATTTTCTATATAATATTTTAATATTTTCTACACTAACTAAATCATACGAAAATACAAAAATGAATATTAAAAGTTTTGAATATAATATTAAAAGGGTAAAAAAAATTTTTATTAATCTTAATTACTTACATATTTTTTATTATCACAGTGAATTATCATATTTTTAATCCTAATATTAAAAATTAATTATTGACAATTTAAAAAAAGTGTTAAATAAAATTTTGCATTATTATTTTTTACAATAATTTAATTATTAATGAAATATTATCTTTACAGTATTTTGTAATATAAAATGTTTAATATAGTTGAAATAAAACATAATTTTATTAAAATTATTTTTCAAAATTAGCAATAATTAATTTTTTACATTAAAATTAAAAAAATAATTCATTATCATAATAAAAATGTATAAACATTCTTATTAATAACAATTTTTTTTCATAGTGTATATTTTAACATTTTTGAATATAAAATGATAAAATACTACATAAAATAATAATAATAATGTATGACTAAAAAATTTTGTTATTAATGAAAAATTATTTTTACAGTATTTTTTAAAAATATAATTTCTATTTATGTTATTAAAGTGTTCGTAAAAAGGAAAAAACTACAAGGCGCTTGCGCGCGCTTTTGTTTAGGTGGTACGTTTTAGTATCTGGGATACTTAAATGTGAATATCTTGGATAGTAGCATTTAATATATAGAATTAAATATCCAAGGATACTAAATCTGAGTATCTATAGATAGTTGTCCCATATTTAAGTATCTAATATATTTACTCGTGAATATACAGATACTAAATTTAAGTATCCATTTTTCTCCGTGTAACAACGTTATGTCATCCAATAAATAAACATCTTAACTGTAAAAGGCCTCTAAACATCATTAACAAAAATTAATTTTGTTTAAAAAAAAAATATAAATAAATATATAAACAATAAATTAAACACTGTAAATTTTTTTTTATTGTTTTCTAAACATTTTCACACAATAAGGGAATATTAAAGTCGTTCCAGGTTTTTCACGAAAGCTTCATGTTATAATCGACACAACTTTAACATGCCCTTAAAGCATTTTTCTACCAATGAGAAAGTTGAAATAGCGCAAGCGCAGTTGTATTTGATAAAAATTTATTGGCTTCTTTGCTAACCTCAAAATCGAAAAAAAAAAAAAAAAACATTTCACTCATTTTATTTCCCCCAAAAGCGAAATATCTTAATAAGAATAAAAAATATAATCCAGAATTATTCTTGAATTTTGCTATAGTAATGTTTTAAATTATTTGAAATTGAATAAAAATAAAAATTTAGAATATCTTCCCCATGGAGTAGTATAAGGAGACCGAACGACGTACATTGAAAGTGGACCAAATTTTGGTAACCTCTTAGTATCATGAAAATACGTATAAGGGAACATAAGCGCTCTCGTGGGAAGTATGTAAAACAGTGGGGAAAAATTAGAAGTACGTTGAACATAACCTAAAAATACATTGCTCCTTATTTTTAAAACTTTTACAATGGCTGACTGTCCAGCTGTGTTTAACACAATCAGTGGCGCTAGTGTTCCATTACGTATTTTCATGACATTAAGCGGTTACCAAAATTTGGTCCACTTTTAACGCAGATTTAACATGGTCGTTCCGTCTTCTTATACTACTCCATGATCTTCACATATTGAATATATGGAAAATAATTTTCTGTATTATTACGTAACATGACAGATTGTTTTATAGGCAAGAATTGCTTTTTTTTACTTTAAAATTAAAAATCTCATAAAATCATAAATATATCGATGAAATTAAATATTTTTTTTTGTCGAAAAATTATTTTTATTATATGATTTTTTGAATAAGGCAATTGTTGCTGTGTATATATATATATAGATGTGTTGAAATTTATGCGTGTGTGAATTTTAATTGTAGAGCCCGTCTCATATGTGAAGATTCTACATATTAATGGAGGATGTGTGTTGTGTGTGAGAGCGTTTATATTTATGATTGTGATGAGTATATATATATATAAATATACAGTAGAAAAAAGGAGTGTGCTTAACAAGCATGTAAGCTTTGCAGCGACTAACAGCAAGACTTTTTTTGGGGGAAAAGGGGCGCAGTCTTGAGCGGCAGTAGTAGCCGTGCGCCAAGGTCATGCAGAATCCCGGAGCTGAAAAATCGTCATGAAAATTAAAACATTAAAAAAAAAAAAGAGCATTATAAATGAAAAACAGAACAATCTGTTGTTATTGCACGTCTCAGGTAGTTGAAGGAGTCGCTAATTCACACTATTTTCTCCCTGCCTTCTTTATTACAAAATCTCTAGCTGTTCTTATATATATATATATACCTTATACATATTTTTTCTAAATTTTTTAAATTCCCGTTTAAGTGCACGTATGCGAGTACATTTTTTTTTTTTTTTTTTTTTTTTTAATCAAAAATGTGCATTCTTAAGCGATAATGGTGATCATTTTTGATCATAGCTATATATTATATATAATAATGACGCGGCATGAAATAATATTTTTGAAAAAAAAGAAAAGAAATTTAAAAAAAAAAAAAAGAAAGAAATTTTTCGCTCAAAAAGCGAAAAATATCGGAACGAGTGGATGTGAGCGAACGCAAGAAGCCCGATGCCTGTAACCAGAAACCAACCAACAATCTTGTCTTTTTTTACTTCTCTTTTCTCTATTTCTTGGTGGTCTTGTCTGTGTATACAGAACGCGATCCGCACCAATCTATCATTGCACAAGTGTTTTGTGCGCTATGAGGACGACTTCGGGTCATTCTGGATGGTGGACGACGCCGAGTTCGTAAAGCGGCGGCATCTGTCCCGCGGCCGTCCCAGGAAATATGACCCAACCCCATCACCCACTCCACCCCACCTCTCCGCACAGTAAGCACTACCACTTTTTAGAATTCTGCTGCTGGCTGCCAAGACGTTCTGACAGTCCGTCTTATATTATCTTTTCTGTCTCTGTATATTTCTCTTCTCCTCCTGCCTTCCTTCCGCATATATAATATCGTATTTCTTTTTTTTTTTTTTTTTATTCGACAAGAAAAAAATTTTTGCGCACCTATTTTTTGCTTTATATAATAAAAATAATTATAATTCTCCATAGAATTTTTATTATCATTTTTCAAAAAAATTATAATATTAAATTGCAATTCTTTCATTTTAGTTTTGTTAACGATTTTTCAGAATTTCTGATTAATTTCAATTTTGTATTTTATCATCACCAGTGATTATAAGACAAGAAAAATGTAAATTAACTTTATTAGATTCAATTACAAAAAAAAAGATAGAGGAAGTTCAATACCAGACATAACCTCAAACTAAAAACGCTTTTTTTACGAAAAGGCCGTTTACGGTTATTTTGGTTTTACATAATTTATTTTCTCGTCTACTAGTTTCGAAATTACAGTTCGTTATTAAAGTTTATTTAATAATTAGAGAACACATAAAACATATAAAAAGATTTCAGAAAGGATATTAAAAATCTGCAAATAATTAAGAATAAATTACATTATAATTTATTTGAAATATTTTTACATTTAAATATCAGGGCTTTCTAGCAGGAAACTACTATACTTATTTTGTACGCAAGTTATTGTAGAAGCACCTTAAGGGTACGGCCACAGATAAGAGTTGGTTTCCATTGTCCCCACTCGCCATTTGTCATAATTCTCGTTAACTACCTAACCCTGCTCAAGTGAAAATGTAGTAATTTTATAGTAACTTTTAATTTTAATAAAATAAAATCACTAAATTTTCACTAGAGCAGGGTGCGGTAGTTGACGAGAATTATGACAAATGGCGAGTGGGGACAATGGAAACCAACCTCAGCTATGTAAGTAAGGTCGTCATGGTAACGTATAAGAGTGAGAGAAATAAAAAAATGTTCTTATTTCTCTAACTCTTATACGTTACCATGACGACCTTACTTATAGTGTTTGGTCGTACCAAAAACTGACGGCAGAGCGCCTAAGAAAGAAATGTTTTGCTATAAAGAAACTACATTATTTAGAAACTGATACAGTTGACACAAAATTTTATTTCTTTATATTTTCCTCAATATATTTTACTTTTTAGAAAACTAACCTCAAAAATTTTGCTTTATTGATTACAAATTTTATAAATATAAAAAAATTGTTAAATAATTACATTTTAAATGCATATTTTTTTGTATATTAATTATAAATAATATAAAATTTGTGATAATATTAATAAAATATGATACTTAAATAGTTTAAATATTGTTTATTTTATCAAAAGGTATATCATTCACTGTTTTCATACCACACATTTTAAAATTAATATTATAAACTCTTATATTAAAATATTATTTAATTTTAAACTTATGAAAAACTTAAACCCGAATTTTTTATTTGAAATTTATTTCATAATCTTTAATAAATTCCGAATAAATGTCTTTCACAGTTGAAGAATTAATATATTTTGAAGAAACCACTAATGCAATTAAAAAAAACGTACAGGATAAAATAACGTATTATTGTTATTATTGCGCGATTTTAGTTGAGAAATTTTTTTAAATAGGAAATACGACATTTATGTTGAAGGAAGTGAAAATATGACTTATCAATAATAAACATTTCGTGTTATTAAAATAATTGTCCAAAAATTAAAATCCTATAAAAACAAAAGATTATTTAAACAAAATTTAAGAAATTAAAAATAACATTGTGTCTATTTTGCTACGCGTTTTAATCAGAATTTGTGCACTAATTATTTGTGACGACGAAAATAATAAACACGCACGTGTATTTTAGAGGTTATGTTTGGGTATTTAATCTTAAAGTAAAAATTTAATTTTATATTTCTAAATTATATAAAAATTTATCAAAAATATTTGTATTATAAAAACATTTTTAGCCGCAAAAAAATATTTTTTTTTTGTTTCCTAAACAAAAAAAATTGTTTAAAAGATCAGCAATTTTAATATATTATTTTTTTCAATCTCAAAAGAACGCATTATGAGAATGAATGGATTAAAAAATAGTTGATTAAAAAAAAAAATAATAAAAAAAATTGAAATTAAACACGAAATTTGAATGGAAAATAAACAATAGATTTTTTGAAACTATGGAAAAAGCAAAAAATCGTGAAATGACCATTAGATAAATATAAATTTTGAAAAGTATTTTAAAAAAAGGAGCGAAGGCAGCGGGAAGTAGCTCTCTACAGTTTCCACCAATCCATTGAACGTGACATCCCGCATCGTGCCTGTCTCATATATATATAATAAAACGGACATTTCTCTGAAATGTCTGTAGCTGTAGTTATAGGATCCTTTTGCTTGCACCACTCAATTAAATATCCTAGCAATGTTCTCCTTAAAATAGCACACACACTAACTGTAAGTACTTACTGGAAAAAAAAACTATAGACCGCATATTATATATATATGAAAACCAATTGGTCTCTGAGCATTAAAAAAAAAAAATTACAAAAAATATCTTGAATGATCCTGCAAAAAAAAAAAAATTCCAGCCACATGACGATTGGTTAAAAAGCTGCAGGATCTTCAAAAAAAAAAATTATATCTTCCAGTAGTTGACAGCATGAAAACATCCTTATTATAAATATCGTTTAAAAAAAAAAGCTAAATTCCAAAAAAGAAAAAAACCCTCGCTAACCTTGGAATGCTGCGATGCTTCAATCGTGCTTCAGTATAAATAAAGCTTGTTTAATGTGACGGCTTCAAAAAGAAATGAGTGTATTTTTTGAATGGATTATATAATTATTTTTTCTAATATTTTATTGTTTTACATTATTTCATTATATTTTATTTTTTTTGTTTATTTTCATTCTCATGTTCATATTTAATTTCTCATTTTTTAATATGCGTAAAAATATATTTATTTAAAAAAATTATTTTTATTCAGACATATTTTTTTATTTTCATATATTTAGGTATTTTTTATGTATTTTATTTATTAAGGAAAAAATTTATTTACATTCGTAAATCTGATTTTAAAAAAATGGTTGATTAATTTTTATTTTTTCAATTTAGAAAATTTTTTATTTTTAATGACTAACTGAAATGAATACAATGGGAAAAATACGAAAAAGAAGTATTTTTTATATTAGGGGAATAGTGTCAGGGTTGGACACAGTTTTGGTTTTTTGTTTAGATAAATTCAGTCAATTGTGGTATATGGGTGGAAAGATCTACAAAAGAGGAACACTTTTACTGTGGACCGTAAATTGATTTGTCCAAAATTAAAAAAGTTATAAACATTTAAAAAAAAATCTAGTCAGGGCTGGACACTTTTTGAAAATCGAAACGCATTATTGGTAAAAACGTAAAATAACATTTGTAATATTTTTTATTCTTATTTTTTCATGTTTATCTTTACTTATTGTTTACAAATTGTAAAGCTTCATGGGTTTAAAAAAGGAATGAACTCAAATTACAAAAAATAACGCTTTATTGTTCCAAATAACTCAATGAAATGATGAACAAAATTTATACAATTTAAGTATTATTTTTCTAATATCTTTGGCACAATTTTGCACTGAAATATCAATAAAATAAAGTTTATTTGTATATTTATTTATAAATTGTGTCAAATTTATAATTAATATGGGTGTCCAACCCTAACTGTATAAAGTGTCCAACCCTAACTAGAAGCATCATTTTCGAATTGTGCTAACCATAACCAGACATGTGTCGCGATTCGATTTTTCACTTTTTTTCTTCTTTAATTATGTACCCCACAATACATTCAATAAGCTTATGTTGCCGAATTCTTGCTTTTTTTTACACATTTTTTAGGTTTATTCACAAGTCAAACAAAACTTTTTTTGTCTCTTCGATTGCACCGAAGTCACAGGAGACGCTACTTTTGATTCTCCAAAAATGTAATGCCACAAAAAGTTAGGTTACACTACTAGAAGATTCGTCACGTACGCACACAGGTGGCGCTAGTGTTCTTATTTAAAAAAAGCCAAGTGTCCAACCCTGACACTATTCCCCTAATATAATAAATTGTAATAAAATTAATTAATATATTTTATTATTATTATATTAATAAATTAATATTATTATTATATTTATAAAATTGTTTTAAAAAAATCTCAAATATAAAAACTGATTTATTTTGGTCATCAAAAATCATTCAAATATATAGAAAATTATCATATTTTTTTTCGAATAGTGTTTTTGTTGAGTATGAGTTTAAATATATATTTTTTGTGTGAGTGAAATATTGTATGTCAGAGCTATATATGCGCATGTGTAAATTGTGTAAATTGGTTGTATCACGACTACAAACTCGGACAATGCGGAACTTATCAACAATTAAAATTTCGGCGTAAATCACGCTTCAGGTATCCAATGTTTCTTTACTAATGATCGATTTTCTCTATATATATATACTAATTTTTTTTTATATATTGTATATAAGTATAAATTTAATATTTTTCAAATATTTTTACACTCTTCAAACAATTTTTATATATATTATTAATAATTTCTATCTGTTCTATCCTTTTTTCTCTTAATACTATTTTATCAACGCTCCTTGTTATTTCATAAATAGCCTTTGGGAAATTTTTTTTTTTTTAGCATGCATATAAATGTATTGTCAATTATTATTGGTCATTTTAATATAAATTATTTTCACATGTGGAACATATTAAAAAATAGACAATAATAATTTACAAGAATCGAACGTTAAATTGATTATATATTTATTCAAATTTTTTTTTATTTATTGAATAAAAAAAAATGTTAACCACAAGTTTAAATAAATCCTTAAATATAATGAGGAATAATAAAGTCTTAACGATGATATTTATTCAATTTAACGGAAAATATTTCACTCAGTCAAATCAAGGAACCAAGGATTTAAAAAACAGGTAAATCCAAGGCTATTTATAAATAATGAACGGCTTTCAATATCAATGTAATTTATCTCAATTTTCAAAAAAAAAGGCAAAAAAAAAATATTTTAATTAAATTATTGTAAAAAATAAATAAAAAAAAAATAGTGCAACCCACTAATATTTTGTTCAAATTTTAAAAAATTATTAAAATAATAATGATTTTAAAAAATTAAATTAACATTCTAAATACAGTGAATTATCAAAATAATGTTTTTTTTTAATGGAAATAAATATTTATAAAAATAAATATTTTAATAAAGCCAGAGCGTTTTATTTTTACATTTTTAAATATCTCTTTTTTAATCTAAACTCACTCTTTATCACCACCCAGTTGAGAAGATTCGAAAAACAAAACAATTTTTCGGTATTAGGTAAGATTTTTTCAACTTCTTTTTAAATATATCTTTTTTAATATCTGGCGCGGTATCAGTTCTACCAAATTTAGTTCTATACGGGGCAACTCGATACGTTAAACTTAGCACATTTCAACTCTACACAGTGAGATTTAAAATTTAATCTCACTGTGTAGAGTTGAAATGTGCTAAGTTTAACGTATCGAGTTGCCCCGTATAGAACTAAATTTGGTAGAACTGATACCGCGCCTTAATATCTTTGTATTTTTATATATTTATATATATCATATTTTTCTCTTTACATTTTTCTCTCACTTTTTTCTCTCTATTTTCTCTATATTCTTCGTTCTTTCTCTTTCTTAATATACACATAATTTATAACTAATATATATTATAGAAAAAAAAACTATTGAAACATAAAAAACATTTTTTCCCAACACTCTTTTGTTCCCATAATTTTTTGTTTTTTTTTTTTCTTCAAATTCGTATTTTATATAAAGTGTACTAACAGTTTCCTTGCTCAAAACACTTACACAATATTTTTCAGGTTTATTATATATATATATATATTTTATATATAATTAATTGAAACAAATGAAAAATGTTTAACCATATTTTTTTTTCTTTGTTAATCATTAGGGGTGTGCCATCTAAAAGTCCAACGTTAACTCACAGTCCAACCATGTATGGCGATGCGCTAAATGCAAACCTACAGGTAACTATTTAAAATTAATTTTTTTTAGATTTTTGGTTATTTAGAAAATTATAGAAAATTTATAGAATTTGTTTTAAGTGAAGGGATCGGTGAAATTTCAACTTATCGAAATTAATGTTGTTAAGGGGTATCAATTTTTTTTTCTCTGTCGTTATTTGAGATCTAAAATTATTGTGAATTATCAAAATTTAAAAAAAAAAATTTTTTTGATCATTTTAGAAATTTTATTTTTTGAAAATATTAAAATTTTTAAAAATCCATACGATTGATTGTTCAGAATCATGAAAAAAGCCTACAAAAAAATTGTCGATAAATAATAATAAAAATTGTGGAAGAAGTTGAATTTTTAAGGAATCTTTGATAAAATTTAAACCAAACATAATTGGTTTTGTTTAGGGGTAACAATTATTTTAACAAATTTTTTTAGAATGAGCCAAAAGTTCTCAACGTTCAAATGAACGAAATATTTTTTTCATTCTATAAATTATTAAAAATTATGATGGTCATGTAAAATAAAACAGTAAATTAAACAATTATTAAATTAATAACTTCTTTTTAAATATATTTAAAACAATATTATCTAATAAAATTCCTTACTTAAAGAAGTTGAAAAAAAAAATTTCGTTCATTTAAATGTTCAAAAGTTTTGGCTCATTTTTTAGAACCTAAAATCATATTTCACTGTGGAAAATGAAATAAGTAATTTTTAATAATTTTACAATTTTTCTTTATTTTTCAGAAATTTTATTTTTTGAAAAAATTGAATTTTTTTCAAAATCCATACAATTGATTGTTCAGAATCATGAAAAAAGTGTATTAAAAAATTAACAATGAAAAATAATAAAAATTGCGTCAGAAGTTTAAATTTTTAATTTTTGAAAATTTCGAGTTTTATTTAAAAAATTATTATTGAATTAATTGTTTTTCAATTTTCCATAGTATATTACAGTTTTAAATATTCAATATTGTCAGAAAAAAAATTGAAAACCTTAAATAGCCTTAATTTCGAAAGGTTGAAATTTCAACGGTCCCTCCCCTTAAGGTTCCTTGTACAAAAATTGGAGGAAAATTCGATTCAATGAACAAATTTTGTAGTGTTCAATTTTCGTAGGAAAAATTTTTTATGAAATTTTATGAAAATTAAATAAATTTAAGTGGGAAATTCTAAGAGTATCAATCTCTAATTTAAATTTTATTTATATTTATATTTAAATAAATAATAATAATAATAATAATAATAATAATAAACAGAAAAAAAATTTCAATGTTAAAAATTTTTTTTTTTGGGGTTTTTCGAGGCGACATTTGCAAACTTAACCCCCAATGCCCTTTATATTGTTGATAGACGCCAAATTTTGTTTGCTGAAATTATTTCGAATCTAAAATTATTCTATTTATTAAATTAAAAAAAAAAAGTATTTATTTTTGGATATTTCAGAAGTGTTATTAAAAAAAAAATTATTAAAAATCCATTCAATTGAAAATGAAAAAAAAAAAAATATGCAAAAACTTAATTTCAGTCAATTAAAAGTTACGTTCCTTAGGAGTGTTAATTCTTTTTTGAATCTAAAAACTTGTAAAAAAAAAAATTAAAGAAAAAATAATTGTTGATCATTTAAAAATTTTTAAGAGCCAAAAGTTTTGAACGTTCATATGAACGAAATTTTTTTTGCAATTTCTTTAAGTACGAATTTTATTACAAAATATTGTTCAAAATATCTAAAAATAAGTTATTTATTTATTTATTTAATTTACTGTTTTATTTAACATAGTCATCATAATTTTTAATAATTTATAGATTGAAAAAAATATTTCGTTCATATGAACGTTCAAAACTTTCGGCTAATGAATTTTTTTTTAATATTTAGAATTTATTTTTTTGTTAAAAAAATTGTTTAAAATCCATCCGTTTGATTGTTTGCAGAAATAAAAAATTTTTGCCATACAAGAATGAAAAAAATTTCGCTGACCCACCCCCTTAATTTGATTTATTTGAAAATATTTTTATTATTTTAAGAATTAAAAATTGTTTTTAAATTAAATTAAATATAGAAAACTTTTTCATTAAATATTTTTTATATACTTTTTTTTTTGATGAAGGTAGATAGAAAATTATACTGTGCAAAAGCCATTAAATTGACATTTTTAAATTGAATTATTAATGAAAATTGTAATCTATTGACTCGGAGAAATCGTTATATTTATTAAAAATTTATTATTAACCGAGTGATCATTTTTATTTTATCATTAAATATTTAAATGCATTAAAATTTAAAGGAATAAAATTGAACAATTTTTTTTTTTTTGCATAATTATTATTTTCTATGTACCATTTTCGTTTAATATCTCTGTAAAAATATCTCTTTTATTTTTATAATCTGTTTTATTGAATGTTTAAAAAATTTTTTTCAATAAAAATTGATTGTGAGAACTAATTTTTTTTTTATTGATAACAATAATAGTTTTTAATATTATTTTGATTTTAATATACGTATTAATATAGTAAAATGTAGTTTTAGTATTTTGATTATTTAATTTTATTTAATATGGATTGTAATTCACGCAGTAACTAACCATCTAATGCAATTTGAGTATTTCCAGGCTGCCCTGGGGGAGTCTAATATGGGCTTTCTGAACAACTCAATGTGTACATCAATAACAACAAGCCCTGATAAGGAGCACGTGATGCCCCACAGTGATTTAATGTAAGTTCCATTATAATACAGCAAAAATATTACGTAATTACAATTTTTTTGGTATTCTATATGGGGCGCATGATTTTCTTATAAAAATCATTAGTTAAAATTTTCATTTTCAAGAAATTTATTAGATATAATTATTATTTAAACCATTTTTTTATTTTTCAAATAAGCATTTGGGAGAATTTCTTTTTTAAACGAATTTTTATTTAACAAAAATTTTAGGTAATCTTTATTTTACAGAATTTCTCTTTACTTTTTCTTTTAAAAAATCTAATTAAACCGAATATTAATTTAGCAGAATTCTCATTCAACAGAGTTTTTAAGTGATTCGAATTTTTAAATGCCCGAATTTTCAATTCACCGAATCTTCATTTATCCGAATTATTATTTAATAGAATTCTTAAAACGCCGATTTCCATTTGTCCGAAACTGAAAATGACCGAAAAAAATGGACAGAAAGACTTTAGTGCAATTTTAAAAATTGACCAATCAGAAATTATAAAAAAAAAATTATGATTGGTTAATTTTAAAAATCGCGCAAAAATAGAAACTTTAAGAAAAAAAAAATGTTAAAAAAATAATTTTAAAAATTCCCCACAATAAAATGAGAATTTTAGGAAAAATTTTTTTACAATAATGTACAGGCCTCGGATCGACTTTAGTCGTTTTAGTCAATTTATATTCAAAAAAAAAGTCGAAAAAGTCGATTTTTTTTATTTTAACAAAATTTAATTGGTTAATAAATATTTTACTTTAAATAACTTGTGTTATTAAATATTAAATTTATTTTATTAATTCTGTAATGATAATAATTCTATATAATGAATATTATCAATAAAATTTATTTCAAATATTTCAGAATCGAACTAATTGTAAGACAAATTTTTTCAAAATTTTATTTAAGTAGGACAAATTTCTAAAAAATATTCTTAAAAGTTCCTTTTTTATAATTTTTTCAATTCTGATTTAAGCAATATATTCGAATTAAAAATTTTGTCATAGTTTTTAGTTTTGATGGTTAAAAAAAATTTCCGACAATATACTTAATCAAGTTTTACAGATTTTTAAATAAAATTTTTTTTTTAAATAATAATTTTGAAATAGTTAAAGTTGAAATTTTTAGAAATAATTGAAATTCAAATGATTTTGTTAATTTTCAGACAATAATTATAAATTTTACAGAATTGAAAATAATTTATCAAATAAATTTTAGATAACATTTTTTAAAAGTATAATTGGATTTTCAAAGATTTACAATTCAAATTTTTGAAATTAATTAAACTTCAAGTGATTTTTAATTTCAAAGTTTTTAATGATTTCACTAAAAAATTTATTAGAAATTTCAGACAAAAATACAATAATTTTAAAATATTTTAAGTAAAAAATGGTTTAAGTTAGTTGAATTTTTGAAGAATATTATAAAAAATCATTAAAAATTATTGAATTTCAGAAGAGTTATAATTGAAATTATTAAATTTCAAAAAAAATGTTAGATGGAAAATTTTAGAAATAATAAAATTTTAAAAGCTTTTTAATTGAAATTTTTTAAAATAATTGAATTTCAAAAGATTGTGTTTAATTATAATAAGAGAAATTTTCAGTGATTTCTGTTGATGAAGATTTTATTAAAAATCACATATAAAAATTGAATTTCAAAAGTTTTTAATTGAAGAATACTTTCAGATTATTGAATTTTTGAAGAATATTATAAAAATAATTTCAAATAATTGAAATTTTTGCAAATAATTAAATTTCAAGTGATTTTGAATTGAAAATTTTTTTGTAATTTTATTTGCTAATTTTTTTTTAAATTATAAACAATTATTAAATTTCATAAAAAATTTTAATTGAAAAATAGTTTAAGATAATTTGTATTTGTGAAGAATTTAATTAAAATTATTAAAAATAATTAATTTAGTGTAGAATTTTAGTTAAAAATTTGTTAAATAATTGAAATAAAGAAGATTTGAAGAAGATTTGCATTCTAAACTAAAAAAAACGTATTTTGTTTAAAAATTTTTTTAAGAAAAATGTAAAAAAAAAGTCGAAAAATCGCATTTTATTAAAATAAGTCGAAAAAAGTCGTATAATCCGACGCCTGAATATAATTAATTTTTAATTTTTGTAATTTTTTTGTTATTGTATTTTTTCGGGTGTACTTACGAAACTTGAAATTTTTTATAGAAAAAGAAATCTTGACAATTCTGATATAAATTTATTTTTGTGCAATTATTACTAATATGGAGAAAACTAATTTTTTTTTTTTTTTTTTTTTTTAATTAAAATGTGATAGGTCACCGCTGGATGAACCAGCTGTGCATATAAAACAAGAAGGTCAATGTCCCGAGGGTGGAAAACTGTCGAGATTGATAAAACGTGAACTTGAAGCGCCAACGGATCATGAACATGAACAGGATCATGATCACGAGGAGGACCCAGTGGACGGAAGGGAATATCCCGAGAGTCATGACCACGATTCCGGACAAGACGAAGACATGGCCGAAGATTTGTCAATGGCTCCTGACATAATGACATCTGACGATCAAATTGAAGCGTAGTATATACGCTCAAAAAACTAGATAATTTTCTTTCGACACTTTGTCAAAAAAAAAGATCCCTATTCTTTTTCAAAAAAAAAGAAATCCCAAGCACAAAAAAGGGGGATTCCTTTTTCAAAAAATAACTCATCATATCCAAAAAAAAAAAAAAATGCCGCGCTCTCAGCGCACGAAACAATTATAAATTAACAAGAAAAAAAGAAGATGAAGAAGAAGAAGAAGAAGAAGACTTTGTCAACCCTTTAAGACGATAATTATTATAAGAAAGTAATGTCAAGGGAATTGGCTCTCGACATGATCCATATCTTTATTCAAGCAATTACGAAACAACGATGCATATTACAAGTACGCCTCGGTCGCAATGTATAATATTCTGTAGTGTAGCCTCGTTATCGACAGTGTTTTGCTTTTCACCCGTAACCAATTCTCAAAATCAATTTGGAATTGTAATACGTTTTATTAATATTTACGGTGTGTTTGTGCAGCGAAGTCAAAAAAAAAAAAAAAAAAAGCGAATAATCTTATCCGACGCACTTGTCTTTATTCGTGTTTTTAAAAAAGGGACTAAAAAAATTGATTTTCATTCGTGTGAAAAATCAAAATTTGTCAAATAAGCCCCCACCACCCCCCATCATGGGTATTTGTAAATATAAAGAAAAGCTGCAAAAAAAAGGCAATCGCCGTAGAAAAAAAAAAAAATAGAAATCTGACATTTTGATTCATCTTTTCGAATGATTAACAAATTTTTTTCTTTCCCCCAAAAAAAATTCTCTCGGCTGTTTTAATCTGTGTACAATGTTACACAACGTTTGTAGATAAATATATAAAAAAATAAAAAAATTATTTAGTCGCGTAGTTTCGACCGAAGTCAATCCTGTTGGCGTATTCTAGAAAACCAATTGTATGAATGATGTGTTGATGGGTACGTCAGGGAGTAAAATGACTGATCAAGGTAGAATATAAGAGAGGCTGATTTAAAATTTTTTTCTTTTTTTTTCAACGCCTCGAAAAGAAAAATATCGTGATCTCACGATTGTCAATTTAATTTTGACATAATAGAGAATTGCTATGCGACATTAATTAGGTGTAATAAAAACAGAAAAAAAGACAAATATGCGTCGAAAAAAAAAACGGTTTAGCCCGACGTACCCGTCCGCAGCTGTATAGAGTTCATAAGTAGTTTCATATTACCGAGTATCGATTTAGAATTTGTAAATGAAATAATTGTCGCAGTTAATTAATAATAATAATAATATTAATAATAATAATAATAATAAAAATAATAATAAACGAGACAAGACACGAGGAACGCCATAGCATGCATTTTTAGCAAAAAAAGTTATTATAATAACTTGAGTATCAAAGACAAAAAAAAAAGAGCAATCGAAACCATTCATAAGCGGTGGATATAAACAGTATAAATAAACACTAAACTACTATGTATGCATATACATAATATATACGTATACGTATTGGGATATAAAAATTTAGCCGTCGACCCCCGTCCACTCCAAATACTCTTTTCTCTTCTCGTATAAGTGTATACTTTCAGATCTTTCGCATGCTCGTTAAAAGAAAAAAGAAAAAAAAAGGAAACGAGTACAAGAGATTTGATTGTAAAATTCCCGATATTCCGTTACGAAAAAAAAAAAAAATTTTAACCAGATTTTAAATTTTACCAAAAAAACAACTCCTGAGATTATTCACAATTTTATATATATATATATATATCTTAATTGCTTTATATAATATATATTATATTATTAGAAATTTTTTCTTTATTCATCTATTATAACTCGTTAATTGTTTTCTGTGATTCATAAAAAAAAAAACAATGTATGTGCGTTACATTAAAAGGATCAATAAAAAATTAAAAAGTTAAAGAAAAAATTTGATTCCATAAAAAGTAAAAAAAAAAAAATTCCTTAAACTAAAAAATGTTCATTTCTAAAATTAAAAAATAGTCTTTTCTGGTTTTCAAAAATACATTCGGGGTTTATTAAAAAAAAAATCACAAAATTTATTTCCCAAAAATTTGACAATCATCTCATTTCTGATACGAATTTAAAAAAAAATAAATAAATTTCTGAAAAAAAATTATCAAAATGCAATTTATCTCGCAGTTCAAACAAATACCTGAGAAAAAAAAATATAGAAACAAATTTTAAGATAGTTTTAAATTAATAAATATAATAATTGTCAACTTATTTAATTCGGTAAAAACAAAAACAAAAAAAAAACGATAATATTCGTTAAATATTTTATGAAATGAAATTTATTGACTTTCGTATATGTATATTATAAATATTAATAATCAAAGTCAAAATATATTTTTATAAAGTTTCATTAACATCAATTATTGTGTACAATTAATTGATTTTTACTTTTGTACATTTTTAACTCGTTATGATATGTCTAAATCATTATTATTATAATAAATTTTTCCTTTAATGTTGAGTCTAAGATAAATCTCCTTTTTTTTATATAGAAAAATATTATGTGTATATGGTTTTTGAGAACCCGTCATTTAGGAAAATTGGGAGTTTTACAAGTTGTTCCACAAAACAAAAAAAAACAAAAACTATGTATGACTAAATTTTAGTGAATTTAAAAAAATGATTTCACTGATAAAAATTGAAAAATATAGTCAATCCGACAGAATAAACGCACTAGTTAATTATTAAATTTAACTGAAAACAAAATTTATTTGATTCAAATAAAATCGGTTAATTGATTATTATTAAATATTTATTTTTATCAAATATTTATTTGTAACAAATATTTATTTGTGTTAATTAATAGTCAATTAAAGTGTATTTATTTTAAATACAAAAATTATTGTTTCAAATATACAGTTTAATATTCATATAAAAATTATTTGGTTCAAGTAAATATTTATTTGATAATAGTCAAGATTATTTGAATGTAATTTTTTTCAATGCTGAAATTTATTAATTAAAATCTAATAGTACAATATATATAATTTAGTCATTTTTTAATTTTTACAATTTGAGGAGGTTCAATTTTAGACATAACCTCAAACTATAAAACACTTTTATATAGAGAAAATAAAACAATAATGTGAAATAATTATAATACATTTTGACATAATTACTAAATACAATTTTAAAAAACTGTTTTAATTTAAATCATCTGTTATATTATAATTTTTCTACATTTTTCCATTTTTCTTCAATTGCAACCATCCATGAAGTCGGCGTCGACGCTCAGCGTCAAAAATTATTTTTCACGGGACCAAGAATATCAAATTATTTTTAAAAAAGTTTTGGGTTCACATAATAAGTTGAAAAATATTTCTCAAGGCATTATTTCGACCAAAAATTTTTTTAAAAAAAAGTAATTTAACATTTTTGGTCCTGTGAAAAACAAATTTCGGCGCTGAACGTCGACGCCAACTTCATGAAGGTCAATTGCGGCATATTACGTTCGATTTTAATAAATAACTTTCTCATTGAAAAATTCTATACAATTTGTATTCGTTGAATTTTATTGAAAATAGGTATATAATTTTATTTAAAAAACGATTGAGCAAAAAAATGAGAATTTTTTCTTATATTTAATATTTTTTAAACAAAATGATTTTCAATAAAATTCAACAGAATTGAAGATAGAATCTTTCAATTGAACAAAAAATGAATTATTATTTATTAAAATCAAATGAAATATAAGATCTAATTTTATGATGAATTATAATTATATGTAAAACCAAAATAATCGTACAAGGTCTTTTCATTATGAAATTAATTAAAAAACGGTTTTTAACAAAAAGAAAATTATTAATAATATTAATAATTAATAATAATAAAATCAATTATTTTTTTGGAATAGTTTATATTTTTTCAAAATACAAATAAATATTGAAATAATTAATAATAAATAATTAAAAGTATATATTGGGTAATAATTTTTACGAGGCCTTAGTTACGGTCTTTATTGATGTTATCAAATTGGTTGACAACGTTTCGATACCTAAGTATCCTCTTCAGGTCACAATTTTGGAATAATAATGTGGAAAAATTTTTTTTGGAAAATACATGGTTTATGGCGCACAAGGTATAAAAAAGAAACACCTGCAAATAATTAGATTTCGTCAGCAAGAGTGATTCCTTAATGTGATTAAAATATTTTGTAAAACTTACCTCATAAAGAAGGTTTCTGTTATTTATAAGATTACATTGTTATAAAATGATTTTAAACAGGTTTAAATAAAAACGATAAAAACGTGACACTTGTAGGTTATGTATTAGTCGATATAGATATTTAGTAGTAGTAGTATCGAGTATTGATTACTATGAAATATCGATATCAACTACTAAATATCTATATTGACTAATACATAACCTACAAGTGTCACGTTTTTATTTAAACCTGTTTAAAATCATTTTATAACAATGTAATCTTATAAATAACAGAAACCCTCTTTATGAGGTAAGTTTTACAAAATATTTTAATCACATTAAAGAATCACTCTTGCTGACGAAATCTAATTATTTGCAGGTGTTTCTTTTTTATACCTTGTGCGCCATAAACCATGTATTTTCCAAAAAAATTTTTTCCACATTATTATTCCAAAATTGTGACCTGAAGAGGATACTTAGGTATCGAAACGTTGTCAACCAATTTTATAACATCAATAAACATCAATAAAGACCGTAACTAAGGCCTCGTAAAAATTATTATCCAAATAACCAAGAAAACGGACGTAAAAATTTTGAAACAAAATTATACAATTAATTTCAAATATACAAAAACATTTTTAGTTGGAGGTTATGTTATCCTAGTATTGCGAACCTTTTATTCGATTTTATTTTCTGCAATTTTAAAAAAAAAGTTCTAAAATCAATTTCCACTCATAGTGTGTTTATTCTAATGTTTTTCTTTAAGAAAAAAAAAGAAAAACACTGTATCAATTAAAAATATAATTCAAAACAACTTATTGTAAAAAAAATTTGATGGAACTCTTACAGAAAAAAAAAATGCGAAAAATGGAGCGACAAAAAAGAAACACGCTTACTCCACAATGTAACCAAATCGAACAGAGCTTTCAAGCCTGTTCATGTTTATATTAATCAGATGTAATCCACTGCACATAATCGACCCGCACAAAACACGCGAGCGAACAGTGCTTGAACGCGGGTATCTCGTAGGATTCGACGCAATAAAAATTACAATTCTCAAAATTAGTCACAATCTTGCATTACTGTATAAAAAAAAAAAAAAAACGAATCAAAAACATATTTCAATGATCTTGCAAATCATACAAAAGCCCCGCGCTCTTGCACCGCCGCTATTAATCGCCTTTCATTCATCTATTAGCTACTATAATAATTAATAAAAAAAAAAATAATAATAATAATAGTAATATTAATAACAATAATAATATCAAGATATGGTGGACATTTACACTCTCGATAAAAAAAAAAAAAAAAAAAAAAGTTACCGTGACGAGGATAAATCCCAGATGGCACTTGGGTCGTGTGCTTATTCTTCTTTTATAAAAAGAAAAAATATATATATATATAATATATGAATTAGCGCTTTTCCATGCTAAGGAAAAATGCGAAATTCTTCTCTTATTTAATAACTGTCCTGAGAATAATAATGCAAAATTTTAATTGGAGTTTTTTTTTTTAATTATTTTATATATTTTTTTCTTCTAACGCCACTACATGATGAAACAAAAAACTATATAGGTATATAGTAAATTTTACTTAAAAATGCAAAGATTAAAAAAAAAAATTGTATTAAAATAAAATTTAATAATTTATTTGTTTATAGTTTAATAACGTTAAAAACATTAGTTAATGTTATTTTTAATTTAAGTTATTAATTAATTTGATTATTTATTAATTATTATTAATATGCAATTTTTAAATATTTACGTAAGAAAATTTTACCTTTTTTTTTTAGAACATTGAAAATTTCACTATATATACATATTTTGGAAATTATATTTATAGTGTGATATGGAAATATTTTTTAGATCTAATTATTTATAGCGAATTAAAATAACTTTTAAAGACGAAATTTGATATTTAATTTCTATATTTTTTATTGTAGGTATTGATTAGTTATGAGAAAGGTGATTTTTTTCTTTTTTTTTTTTGTTTTTTTTTTACTATACGAATTTATTTAATATTATTATTGAAGATATTTTATTGTAAATTTGAAATAGTAATAATATTAAAATAATAGGAAACATGTATATTATCTCAGGGCAGTAATAAATTATTTATGTATTTTTTTCTGATGATGTCAACAGCAATAACGATATATATATAAACATCAGCGACAAATCTTTTGTAATTATATTATCTTTTACTATATATTGTGACCATGAAAAAGGCATGTGTCATAAATATTTAGATGATTATAAAGAAAGTGTTAAAAACACGGAACATAATCGGAATTTTGTGTTCACCGATCAAACAGTGAATCGTATAAGACTATGTATTGTGTATAATGAATTTAAGGACTTGATAATATAGAAGACTCTCCTGTAAATAGATAAAAAAAAATACATGTTTATTCCAATGTTTCGTCTATTTTTATTGTTCTTAGGATTTTTAATTTATTTACTTATTTATTGCATAAAAAAAATTTTATTCTTTTAAATTTTGTTTCAATTATTGTAATTTTTTTATCATCAGTATAGTAAAAGTATAATTTAAATCAAACAATATTAATTCTTGTAAATTTAGAAATAAGAGAAATTTTAATTATAAATGAAAAAAAAAATTTTTTGTTTTAAATTTTATTTATTTTTTAAATCATTTATATTTTATCAAATAAGTTTACCACAATAAAAAGTAAGTAAAAACGTTGACAATTTTTTAAAATTATTTTTTACAAAAATTATAAAATTTAAAAGATTTAATTTAAGAAATAAATGCCATTAATTTTCGCAAAATACGAATAAATTAAAATTTTCGAATTAAAAAAAAAACAAACTATTTACTTAAAGCGTTTCTATGCGATTAAATTATTAATTTAATTAATTAATTATTTGGAAAACCGCAATACCTTCTTAATATTTCATGATAGGTATGTATTTAAAAAAAATTGTTAACGACCTGAAAACAAAAAAAAGAATATTTTTATTAATCCTGAAATAAATTTTTTAAAAATTTTTTTGTCGTTAAATATAGTTTTAAAAAAATTGAAAATTTAATTTTGTTTTTGAAATTAGTAAATTATTATTTTTTATTATTTAATTAATTTATTTATATTTCATTTATTTATTTATTAAATATGGATCGAAATTATTTAATTATTAAATAAATATAATATAATTTATAATATAAAAGAAATAAATATTATTAACGATCGTTATCTTATCGAGAAGAATTTAAAAATATTGTGACTTCTTGAATTTATAAATTGTTTTACCTTGCGTAAATAAAATTTTTCATTTAATTAAATTTACCAGTAGATAGTAAGTTGCTTTTAAGTAGATAATTTTTATCTTTGCCTTAAGGTGGAGCTACCTACTGGACTACCGACACAATCTGACAGAATCGATTAATACAAAGAGAATATTTTTTCCAAAGAGCGATATAATTAAAATAATATCAATTTAATAAAAATTATAAATGTTATATATAATATAATATAAAATAAATTTTACACTAATTAAAGTTATATTTATTGTAAAATTAAGTACTGAGATTTTAAATTTTAAAAATTTTATTTTCATAACAAATAAAAAAATTAGATATTTTTTTAAACATTGTTTTTAATATTAGCTATATGGCGGTAATTTCTATATAAAAAAATTCGTTAATAATCATTATCATGTGGGATGGGCGAAAATAAATCAACTGTATTCACTTGACGATTGGTTATTAGAAAAAGAACTAGCTATACTTAAATCAGACTCATACGAATTATTCTTAAATCACGATGAGGTAGAAGAAGATTATGAGGACGAATTTGAGGATGAACATGTAAGAGCCCCAGGAGCATAATAGCTCACCATTGTAAATATCATAAATAAATTACTTCTTTTCTCTCTTTATAAACGAATAAATTTATTCATAGATTCAGAAATTCATTCGTTTAGAGGGGCATTACAGAGCAAAATTTTGCAAATTTTTCCTTTAAAAAAGAATTTTTTTTTTTTGAATAAAATTAATTTTTCTTCTCTCTTTTTGACAATTGAAATTAATTTTTTTTTTAAACAAATAAAATTCTTTTTATGTTAAAAAAATTCATTTGTTTAAGGGGGCATTGAAATGGTATTTCAATAGTCCAAAATTTTACTATAAAATAATAATAAATTATCTAAAAATTATAAATTAATAAATATGAAAAATAAAATTACATAAAGAAATGAAATTAAAACTAGATAAATTGAATTTCTGAAAATAATAGAAAGAGAGAGAAGATATCTACAGATAACACAATGAAAATATATATATATATATAACACACTCGCACATTTTGAATTTTACTTAACCCAGAAAATTAAGGGTAGGGACGCAACTATATAAGCTAAGTAAATGCGTGTTTCTGTCTCTTTAATCTGTACAGTATTAAACTGGTAAGAGCTTTCTTTTATATTTTAATATAAGGAAATTTCAGAACAACAAAATCTACAAAGTCAAGTCTTTCAAACTTAAGAAGTGCAGATTGTTGGGGGCTTTCTAACAATCTCTACTTAAACGATCTGCATCTCTGGGCGAGAAAGATAAAAAAGATTATATCGTAATTAAAAATAAACTTTATTTAAAAATTGTTAATTTTGAGAGACCAATTGTTAGGGGCTCTCTAACGATTTCTACCAATACGATTGGTTCTTCTTAAATTAACAATTAAAAATTGTCGAAGAGGAAAGTCTGTTGTCAGGAGCTTTCGAAAGATTTCTACCAACACGACTGACTTTCCAAATCTGCAATAAAATAAATTATTATTTAACAAAACAACAAAAAAATACCAACAAACAAATCTTCAAAGTCAAGCCACGGAAAATCAATGGTCAGGGGCTTTCTAACGATCTCTACCAACACTGTTGATTGTCCAAAAGTGGTAAAAAAGATTAAATCGTAATTCTTGTTTAATATTCTTATATGCCATGTACATTGCAATAGGCGATCCACATGACAATTAGAAAGATTGAACAATAGAGATAATCCTGATAAACCCTTAAAATTTTGTCAGGTAATATAATATTGTTAAAATAATTTATTTCATATTTTTTTTGTAGATTTTCATAAACCACAAAACTATATTTCAATTCAATTTACAAGCGAAATAATCACAAAGTGAAGGTGTGTTTGTATTTATTTTATTTATTTATAATTACTAAATTAAACTAAAAGTAAATTTTATTCTATTCAGAACTGAGAGATAATAAGGAAGGACTCACAATCGTTTTTATAAACAAAGAAAGCTATATCGTCAGATTGATTGTTTATTTTGATTACTTAAATAAAAATAACTAATTCTTTTATTTATTATCATTATATTTTCTTTAGCATCAAATTCTTTGAAACGATAAACAATCAATTGTTTAAACAAGTAAAAGAATTTTGAAAAGTTAATAACAAAAGCTAAAAAACTAAATAATTATTGGAAAGATTCCTCTAATTTAGTTTAAAAAGTGACAAATAATTTAAAAATAAAAGAGAAGAATATAAATATATATAAGTATAATATAGAATTTGGAAAAGCAAAAAAAAAAGAAAAATACTAACGTATTTTCATTCATAAATTTTACTACATGTTTAAAATCTTATCTGATGATATAGTTAGAACGTGTTTTATTATATTGAATGATAGAAATTAAGGATATAATGTCCCTTTAAATTTTAACAATACTATTGTTTCTTTTGTATTAGAGATAATAGAATGTGGGTGATACTTCCCTAAACATTTATGTTTATAGTTTATCAGCCACATGTTTGAACTCATTTGCTTCTCAGAATCGATGTGTCACGTAAATTTAATTAAATAAGAATAAGAAATTATATATTATATTAATAATCCCCGGACTGAGAGCTTATGAATGCTTCATCATATAGTAATATTATTATTCAATAAATTACTCTTATTAATTATTAGTAATAATATATTTTATATTAATTACTGTTGGAGAATATTTTATCGTTTAAAATACTAATTTATTGAAATATGCAATAATAAAAACATCAGGGTAATTCAATATATTTTTTTTTAGTATTTGTCTCGTATTTATCAAAAAATATAAATAAATAAGGTAACAAATAAAAATTCAAGCATCTATTTCATTGAAGCACTCTTTTACTTTATAAGAGTTTTATTTTATATTTATTATTTGAGGGCTGGAAACTCATTAAAATTTAACGCAATAAAAAAAACACCCGTTATACTACAATCGCGCAACTAAAGGCGCTTTCAAAAAAGGGAAAAAGATATTCCCAGCCTTCAGATAAAGTAATCAGCATAGCTGAGATACCTACCACTGTGAAATTCCCTAATTCTCTACTATACGTAGAGACCCTAACAGTAAACTGTTTTAAACAGCGAATATCATGTTCTTATATAGAAGAGTAGAGTCATCTCAATTGAGGGTTAACTTTCAACCATCCATCTAGCGGTTGTTATAGTAACTAACGTATTTTTCTCAGACCAGTGGAGCAGGCGCGTACATTGATAAGTTAGTGCCACATCATTATACATTTTCTTTCTAAATTTTATTATTCTTCTTAAAACTTATCAAGGTAAAATTATTATATATTACTATTTTTATTATTAATAATAATGAATGCAAAATTTCATTTTTAACTTATACACTGAGTTTTTGTTAAGTGGAAAATTTTTAAATTATTGAAATCCTGATAATAAAATTTCAATATTTTAAATTAATGGTTTTTAAAAATAATTTTGATGCAGAATTTAATTAACATTAAATTACATTAAATTATTTCAATTATAGAATATTAAATATAAATATGAAATTAACAATTTTAATTAATTTTCCTTATCATAATGTCTGCAAAGTTTTTCTGTTTTTTTTTTATTAAAAAATATTTAACAAATTGTATTTTTTTTCATTTTTATTATATATTATTATATTTATTTAAAATAAATAAATTAATTCAATTTATTATTTTTATTATATATGTAAAAATATTATTGTATTAAAATAATAAATGTCATAGATTTATTTATTAATGAAGGTAGATAATTAATATATATATATATTCAAATGTTACGTCGGCGCATAAGGATTTTGGGATTTTTAATTTGAGTGGCACGCGCTGGCGCCAACAAACCTTTCTATATAACTCTCTCCAGCAGAATATAGTGTTTTTTCCATTGATCATTCAGGACAATTGTTCTCAGTTGTTATCCACAGCTTCAACAAATCAGTATAGAGAAATATGTTGTGCTTTCTAGTAATGCGCTAAAAAAACAAAAACTAAACATTTTATAATTAATGTTTATAATGGATAGTGAAACAATAAAATTTTTTATAAACGTAAGTATACATTTAAATAAAATTTTCAAAAATATATTTTTTTCAAAATATAATTATTAATATTTTTCTATTTAATATTACTTTTTTAGAATAATATCAATATTTTTTAATATTTTATTAATTTTGTAATATATATAAATTTCTTGTTTTTATTTTATTTATTTATTATTATTATTATTATTTTTTTTTTATTATTATTATTATTTTTATTATTATATGTGCTGTGTATAAAATAAATATTTTAAAAATAATGAGATTAATATTAATTAAAATATTGTAAATATTTTTTATATCCTTGATTGAATAACAAAGTGAATATTGCAAAATTTAAATTGAAAAAATTTTTTTTAAAAATAAATTATAAACATTTTACAATTTTTTTTTTTTTAATTTTTTTTTTCAATTCAGATATAAAGTGAAATATTATTTTCAGGATGGATATCAGTTCCCTGGTACCAGCGGCTCTTACGAATCAAGATTCAAATACTATAGAAGCTGGATATAATAAATTTTCAGAAAATTTACGCAAATTTACACCATTAGCAATACAGTGTGCTATTTTTTGTGGTTCTCGATGCAAATACGAAAATTCAAAATCATGGCCACCTGTACACATGGCAATAAAAAACATCTTTTCCCATTGGTAAATATATCATTTTTTTAAAAAAATAATTAATTAAATTATAATTAAAAAAATATTACATACTACAATTATAGTAGTTTTTTTTAAAAATAATTCACATTTTATTTAAACGTATTTTCCCATTAATAATTATATAATTTTTTTTTTTTTATTAATTTATATAATTGAAAAAAAAATTACATGATACAATTATGTAATGTAATATAAATAATATATTTTTTTATTATCATTAAAATGTATCTTGAAAGGTAAAAAATTAATAATTGAATAATAAATGAAATGAATAATTAATTTATCTTGAAAATTTTATTTATTATATTTATTCAAAATCTATATTGATTGTAACTTTATCAAATAGTGAAAGATAATAATGCTAAAAAACCATTAATAAAATACAATAAAATAAAAAATCATATACAAATACTAAATTATTAAACCATGCGTGTTTGCTAACACTCAAGTACAATATTGTGATTTACTGAATTGATACCACTCACTGTCATCAAACATAATAACAAAAGATAATAAAAAAAATCTATAAACTCTCGCATATTAAAAGAATATATACCATATCCCATTATATCATACGGTTTAGTTTCTCTATAAAATAAAATATTTTTTTCTTTTCCTAATAAATGTTTCTCAAAAAATATTTTCAGAAATCAATTTTAATAATAAATAAATATTATAATTTAAAGAATAGAAATTATTTTATTTTGAGCAAAAATAACTAATAATTTTTTTTTTTTTTTTTGTTATTTAATGAAATAATTTTTGTTTTTTTAGGGTAACGGACGATGTTCTTGCAATGGCAAGACCAAATACGCAACAAATTTCAAAAGATCACATAATCGCACAATTTCAAGGGTGGAGTATAAAAACGTTAATAAATTTACAAACACCAGGAGAACACGCAAGTTGTGGACCTCGACTCGAAAAAAGTGGTTTCACATACAACCCAGGCGATTTTATGAAAAATGGCAGTAAGTTCATATTATGTATACATTAAAAATATATTTACATAATATTAACGATAATAATTATTATTTGATATCATAAAACAAAACCTAAACATATTTGAAAGAATAACTAAAAGTGAGAAATAAATTTAAATAAATTTTTGTTTTTCTATTAGAAATTTATTTTTATAATTCAAGAATTATTTTGCCCAATGAAAACAAAAAAGGAATTAAAATTATATTATCAATATATACTGTTTCTAAATTTACAATTAAAGAAAAAATTATTAAAAAAAATTATTTCATTTACTCAGATATATGGGCATCGATACTATTTTTGATAAATTTACCGTTAATGAAAAAATTAAAAAGCTTTAAATATTTTTAGATATTTCTTTGCAACATGAGAAAAATATGAATTAATTTATTTGAATATACATGAAAATTAAAAAAATTGAAAATTTCTACGTTAATATTAACTTGACTATTATAGAATAAATATTTATTTAAGCCAAGTAAATATTCATGTATTTGAATGAAATGAATTTTATTCGAACCATTAAATTTCTGTATTTGAAACAATATTTGATAAAAATAAATTTTTTAATTTATTTCCAAAGTCAAATTTTTTCCATATAAATTATAATTATGAAAAAACGTAAAATTAATTTTTATATGAAAAAAGGAGGTTGAAGTTAGAAGAAGCAATTAAACGTTAATTTTTACAAAAAAATAAATAGTAAAATTATTTTTTTGTAATATGGAAACTAATTGTAGCCCTTGAACAAGTAAGAGACAAGATTCATTGTAATATTACTTGCACAGAAATATCCTTACAAATCGAAGTTAGAACATGCAATGCAGCAAATGTATAATATGTATATGTATATATATATATACAAATGGACTTACTTAGTTTGCAACTCGACAGACATTAAATCAGATTGAGCTCATTTGCATTTAAGTTATTCCCCTACAAAACTAATTTGTTTTTCAAACAAAAATTTATTGAAACTTTGATTAAAGAGCTATTAATTTGTCATAACGAACATTGTGATTATATTCTTCATACACCAGTAGAAAAGAAAATTTTACTTTTTAGTAATTTTTTAGAAATACATTAAGATAATACATGAATTTTAATTTATTCGATATTATAAACGAATTCTTATAATAAAAATTTACTAGTTGAGTAATTTTTTTTTTCAACTGAAAATAATGTATAGTTAAATTAAATAAAAATATAATTTATGAACTATAATTTCTGTTTAAAATAAAATTGTTATTTGGCATAATCCCTGGCGGATTCGATTTGCGTAATGTCTACTTAACTAAGCGGACTTTAGGTAGACATTAGGTAGACATGTAAAAAAACGTATAAAAAAGCTATTAATCGACTTATTATGATAAAAAAAAGTTGATAAAAGGGTAAATGAATGTTTATAGAGTAAATTTGTACAAAATTTGTAATTAATAAAGCAATAAATAATTAATAATGAATGGAAATGTGCGCGAGGTACCTGATCAGTTCAGCTGTACAATTATTTTCGTGCTATTTTCATGAAAAGAATATAAATTAACGGCAAAAACAATTGATATTTATAAAAAAGTGTAAAATTGATTTAATTTGAGTGTTTGCAATACGAATTATTAAATAATAATTAAGTTTTTATCAAATGTGAATAGTGTTGTGAAAACCTGTGAAAACTAATGAGTTACTACATTACCGATCGCATATGATAATAAAAAGTTCTCGATGAGTGTAACAAAAAAGCTGCAATCATGTCCGTAATTTTGGACGAGAAACAATTATGAAATCAATAATTATTTGTATAACTTTATTCTGCATTTTAAAATTCACTTTTTATTTTCTTTCAAAGCAAAAGCTTGGAAGAAAACAAGCTCGCACTGTATTGTAAAAACTGGTGGCGCCATCTCTCATATGCGATCGGTAATGTAGTAACTCATTAGTTTTCACAGGTTTTCACAACACTATTCACATTTGATAAAAACTTAATTATTATTTAATAATTCGTATTGCAAACAATAAAATTAAATCAATTTTACACTTTTTTATAAATATCAATTGTTTTTGCAGTTAATTTATATTCTTTTCATGAAAATAGCACGAAAATAATTGTACAGCTGAACTGATCAGGTACCTCGCGCACATTTCCATTCATTATTAATTATTTATTGCTTTATTAATTACAAATTTTGTACAAATTTACTCTATAAACATTCATTTACCCTTTTATCAACTTTTTTTTATCATAATAAGTCGATTAATAGCTTTTTTATACGTTTTTTTACATGTCTACCTAATGTCTACCTAAAGTCCGCTTAGTTAAGTAGACATTACGCAAATCGAATCCGCCAGGGAAAGTAAAATTTATTTGTCACAAATATTTATATTTACAAAATATATTTTTCTTTGAATGTATACAATAAAAATAGACAAAGAACTTTTTTTCTAAAATCATATCTTTTTACCAAAACTTAAATAAACTTAAATAAATATTTGAATAAATATTAGAAAAATTAATTATAATCAATTTTGGAAGATCTAGTTACTAATTTTTCGTTGAAAATAATGATTTTTTAACATTTTTGTTTTTCTTTCTTTCAGCTCAGATAAAAATTGCAATTTTCATTCAATTTTTTTTTAAACAATCAGCTTAGTTTATCCATTGAAATATCGTCTATACGAGAAATTTTTTTTTTTTTTATTGTTACAAAATTATTTAATTTCATTTATATATTTTTTGAAGAAAATATTTATTTTATTTATTACTTAATATAAATAATAATAATATAAAATTTTTTTAAATATGTAGTAAAAAATAACGTAACCATAACTATACAAAATTTAATAAAATTATCCAAATCAGTAATTTTATTTAGACTATTTTTGCTTTCTTTTTTTATAGCATTTCTGCAAACTAGATTATTTAATTTTTTAGTACGTAAAATTATTTTAGTTACTTTATTTTATAATTTTTATTTTGTATTATTTACTTTATTTATTTCTTTATTTTAATTTTGTCTTAATTTAAAATAATAATAATAATATAAAATAAAAATATTTTTAACAACATCGAAAAAATTACGATTGTAGAGAATATTTCAAGATGTAAAATAATTAAAAAAAAAAAATTTGATAAAAATTGCGATGTTTGTCTTCCAGCTGAAAGAAAAAAAAATCAGTATTTGACGAAAGATTTTGACTCAATATAATTTTTGCTAAAATAAGTAGATAACTAAGATCTTCAAAAATTGTTTCATTTTGCGTTAAAAGATAAATAAATATCATTTTTTAATTTAATCCTTAAATTATTATTATTTCAATCCTTAAATAATAATAAATAATAATAATAATAATAATAAATAATAATAACAATCCTTAAAAATAATCAGTAAATTAATTAATTACTGAGAGTTTAATATATTTTTTAATTCATTATGATTATAAATAATATGATTTATGTTTTTTAAATAATAGCCCTAGAGTGTCAATAATTTTTTTTTTTTTAGACAAAATTCTCAATTTTCTCAATTCCAATATTTGGGAAAAATTTATAAATTTTTTATTTAAGTTAAATTTCTTTTTATTTAGCATAAATAAATTTTAAAATTAATAAATTTATGTTTGAAAAAAATAGTTTTTAAAAAAATATGATTTTATTATAATATGACCGATTTATTTTTCAGTTAGTAAAGAAAATTCTGCAATTGAAAACAAAAATAATTATTTTTCAGTATATTGTTACAATTTTGCATGGAAGGACTATGGAGCAGCTACCATGGAAAAACTTCTAGACATGGTCAAGGTCGTGACCTTTTCTGTGCAAGAAGGAAGAGTTGCGATTCACTGTCATGCAGGTAAATCAATGATTAAACACGCTATTCTAAAACCCATTTGCATTTTGAACTCAATTAATTATCCGCAAAAATCAATAATGTGGATATTAAGTTGACATTATAGATAAATTAGTACATATCATTGAAAATTTATTATTCATCAAATTAATATATTCACATCTAATTGTAAATTGTATCATTTTAATTTACAAAAGATTATTTTCTTTATGAAAAAATAATGAAATTTTAAAATTAAAAAAAAAAATGATTTGTTTTGATATTTGCATTTTTTTATTGTTGAATTTGTATTTTAAATTATTAGGAAAATATTCTACTATATATGGGGCATTTTATGGGAAATTTTCATTGAAAATTTTTTTTTCGAAATCTATATGAAAAATAAAGAAATACGTATTTTTTTATTTTTTTATTTTTTTATTTGATAAAAATGAAGGAAGTTATGATTTTTTGAAATTTAACGTTAACGAAGAAAGTGTGTTTTTGGAACATTTTTTAATCTATTGTACTAATAAATTAAAAATTATGCTACACGGAGAGAAATCTGCTGCGATTTTTGCTTGGATGAGTAAATTACTTTAATTACATGGCACGACACTTGCATTTTTAGCATAAATTCAAGTATTTATTGTAAAAATAGTTTCTAAGCAAAAAACACAAGTCACGGGTGTTAATTTTGTATGAATTTCACATAAAAACTGCAAAGGGGACATGCCATAAAAGTATTAGATCCTCTCTTATAAAATTTGCAAGAATGCCATCTGATTTTCAGGTGGAATTTATACAACACAATCTTACCTCCGTATACACACAGCATTTCACACACACAATCATTGTATGCTGGTGATTCCGATGAACGGAACGCACAATGCGCACGCTCGTGTTTTACTATGCGTTTTTAACCGCGAAATTTAAAATAATTTTATTTAAAATTTTTTTAAAAATATTTGTTGCCAATAAGTGGTTGTTTATTAAAAAGTAAAATAGAAAAATAATAAATAAAATCGAATTATTTATAATGCATACATTATAAATAATTCGACTTTATTCTCGATTTATTTATTAAATAAAATAAAATTTAATTTATCCATAGATAATTTTCTGAATATATATAATATTTTATTAATATTTAATTAATTTCATATATTAATTAATTAAATTAAAATTATTAATTAATGTAATAAATATGTAAATATATAATATTAATACTATATTGGTGATTATATTTTAATATTTAATATAAAAATAATACTCATACCCATAATATAATAACAAATATATAAATACAATGAATAAATATAATTATAAATTTATACAAATGTAATTAATATTAAATTTTTTAATTGTTTTTTATTTTTAATAGATTCTGTTTTTAAAAGAACAAATAACATTTTAGCTAATAAATATTTAAAAATTTTAGTATTTAAAATTTTCTATTTTACTGTTTAATAAACAATCACTTATTGGCAACAAATATTTTAAAAAAAATTTTAAATAAAATTATTTTAAATTTCGCGGTTAAAAACGCATAGTAAAACACGAGCGTGCGCATTGTGCGTTCCGTTCCTCGGAATCACCAGCATACAATGATTGTGTGTGTGAAATGCTGTGTGTATACGGAGGTAAGATTGTGTTGTATAAATTCCACCTGAAAATCAGATGGCATTCTTGCAAATTTTATAAGAGAGGATCTAATACTTTTATGACATGTCCCCTTTGCAGTTTTTATGTGAAATTCATACAAAATTAACACCCGTGACTTGTGTTTTTTGTTTGATACACTCCATTACATTAAATACATGAATTCATATTTAAATTATTCCAGTCTTAAGCTAAAATTGTATCGAAAAATGACTTATGAAATTAATAAAGACAGCACAAGCAAAAATCGCAGCAGATTTCTCTCCGTGTATATATGAAATTTGTTCATTTTTTTCAAATTTTTCAAATATGTGCTCAAAAATAACGTACCCATAACAGAAGTTAAATTAATATTTAATAGGTATTCGTTGGCCCATGGTACCTTAAAAATAAATTTTTAAAAATAAATTTTTTTCAAATTATTATCTTGTACGAAATTTCCTGGCGCATTTTTTTTCTCATCATAAATTTTTTGTATTTTTATACAATTTTTGAATCAATATACAACTTTAAAAAAAATTTCGTTGGTAAACGTTGTGTACTTCAGCTTCGTGAATTGAATTTTTGAATTTGGAATTTTAAAGAAACTTATTCCGAAATTTGGAAACACAATTAAACAACTTTGGCAAAAATAAGAAAAAAAAATTGTCAAAATTTGACACGTCATAAGATTACTATTCAAAAAAACACGTGAAATCAGAAAAGGCCAACTTCAAGTTAGGACAGGACAGACCAAGCATTTTATTATTATATAATAGATTAAAAAATGTTCCAAAAACACACTTCCATCGTTGACTTTAAATTTCAAAAAATCATAACTTCCTTCATTTTCATCAATTTAAAAAAATAAAAAAATACGTATTTCCTTATTTTTCATATAGATTTCGAAAAAAAAATGTTTCGGACAAAAAAAATTTTGAATGAAAATTTCCTATGAAATGCCCCATATATTTTAGAGGGAAAATTTTTAAATCTATTTTTCAAAAAAAAAATTTTTTTCCTCTAAATAAAAATAATATTTTTCATTATAAGATGTTCTATTTTTAAATAATGAATAATAAATAGAGTGTGATAAACATAATTCTATATTCAAAGTAGAGAAAAGAAAACAAATTTAGTAACTACTATCTTTAAGAGAATTGTTAGTTCGAAAGCAAATTTCCATATTGATCCATATGACTAATATCTTCTCTTCACATAAACCTAACTATTTTGATTCTTATCAGAATTTTTGGCTATATTTAGCTATAGGGCATATTTGAGTCTATCGATTTTTCTTATCATCAACCTAAAAGGGTTTCGTGACAGATTATCTACTAATCATTCTCTACTTCATCCTTTAACTACTTTTTCTATTTTGTATCAAACTTTTGCCTTAATTTCTAAACAAGAATTGTTTTTTTTTATTATAGCAGAAATACTAATTTTATAAAAACTGTATATTTGTAAAAAAGAAATTGTATTTTTACATTTTTTTTTCAGGACTGGGAAGAACAGGAGTACTTATTGCTTGCTATCTCGTTTATAATTTAAGAGTTAGAGCAAGCGATGCCATAAGATTCGTTCGATTAAAGAGGCCTAATGCAATTCAAACAAGAGGTCAAATCTTGTGCATTCAAGAATTTCAGAACTTTGTTCTTCCACAAATGATTGTATTTCCAAGAAGTAGTTATATTTGCAATTTAGGATATTGCAGTCTTCATTCATATCTCAATAGACAGTATAATATTTTACATGGATATGAACAACGAACTTTTAAACAAATACCAAAGGTAAATTTTTTATTTAAAAAAAAAAAATTCTCGCGCTATAAACGAAAAAAAAAATTAAATCAAATTATAATTTTTTATCAGATTATTTTTATAATTTGTGAACGAATTTTACAATTATGTGATTGTCAAGAAGATAATTCACCAGCAGAAATTGAATTTACAATTTCTTCATCTCCATTTACACAGCGATTTATTTCGCATGTATTGGAAAAACTTAAACAACAAGAAGTAAAAATGAAGCATTCATGGACAGATTCATCTTTGGATTTATCGTATTTAAGTGAGAATGCTAATAATTTTTTTTTTTTTTTATTAATTATTGTCGTTTTTATTTTTAATATTACAAGGGTCAATCCATTATATAAATTCAAAGTTGTTTGCTCCTTATTTTTAGAGAAATCTGATAATTTGTATGGGCATGATTTTTTTTTTATATCCGTACAATATATTTTTGATAAAATTTTTTATATTTATACTTTGAAATTTGAATTTTAATTAAAAATGAATAAAAAAGGTCAGAAACAACGAAATTAAATGGGTAAATAATATTATATAAATTTTATTTTTAGAATTATCAGAAAAATCTGATAATTTGTAGGCATATTAAAATTTTTTTTTTACAAAGAATATAAAAATATAATTATAAAATACAAAAACTCACGAAAATATATTGGGGCCATTCAAGTATTACGTAAGCATATTTTCAAGGGTTTTGGACCCCTCCCTCCTCCCTTAAATAAGCATATTGTAATGGGAAAAATATTAATTTTGTGTGTTGTGTAAGCAACTGAGGATACTAGCAAATGGTAATAATATAGAAATAATAATTATATAATTAAATATATTTTTTATATTTTAATAATTTACTGTGAATTAAAACAAATACACTTTGAAAAAAATCAAATCAATTGTAACCAGGATTAATTTATACTTTTTATTTAAAAATTTTAAAAGAATAATTCTCGAACATACAAGAAAGTGACATTTTTTTACAGTAGTGAAATTGAATTTTCTAATTTAAATGACGAAAATAAAATTGATTTGCAAAGATTGAAAACTTATGTTTTAATGAGTTTTTGTATTATGTAATTTTATTTTATGTTTTGTAAAGTAATTTATTATAACAGTCAGGTTGTGCTTTCTTAAGAACAAAAAAATTTTTGTTTTGTATTTGTTTTTTTTAATAAGTTTAATTTTTTTCCCCTTTTTGTTTATTTTTAAATGTTTACCATATTAAGGGACGTTAAAAAAATTTAGAATTTAAAAATTAATTAACAAATAAAAAATGGTTATTTTTACAGTTGGGTAAATTTTACCAAAAAAAAACCCACAAAAATTCAATTTTAGAAATTTTATTAACATATATTTTTTTTTAATTATTGATGAAAAATAATAGAGAAATTATAAAAGAAGTTTAAATTTTAATTCTTGTAGAATTTCAAGTTCTACGAAAAAAAAAATTTGTTTATAAAATAATTGTTTAAAATATATTAATACGAATTTCAAAAATCATTTCTAGGAATTATCAGATTTTTCTAAAAATAGACCGCAATAACATTGAATGAAATATGGAATGATTCATTGTGAAACAAATGCAAATATTAAATTGTTAATCGTTTTCAGATTCTTCAAAAAGTGATAATAATTCTAATACTCAGGTATCATCTAGTGAAACTTTAAACGACGTAACAGAAAATGTATTTTGTATATCACCAGACGCCCCTTCATGTTCTTCCGTATTTCCTGGTATGAAAATAACAAAAAATTTAAATATTTATTTAAACTTTAATATTAAAATGTACGATTTGCTTTTTCTTAAAACCGTTTTTTTAAAATAATGTTTGTAATTAAAAGTTTTTCTGACTAATAGTTTCTAACGAATTCGCATACGTTTTGTAAATATAAATTTCAATCTTGAAAAGAAAATTCGTTTAAAATTAATGAACATTTTTTTTCGAAATCTTTATGAAAAATAAGAAAACCAGTATTTTTTATTTAATAAAAATTATAGAATTATTTTTTTGTAAATTTAACATCGCCAGAAGCAAAGTACTTTTGAAATTCGTTTTTCTTTATCATACTAACAAATAATAAATAATAATTTACATGAAATTTATTCGATTTTTGTTCAATATTTTAAATATGTAGTAAAAAATAACGTCACCATAACTATACAAAATTTAATAAAATTATCCAAATCAGTAATTTTATTTAGACTATTTTTGCTTTCTTTTTTTATAGCATTTCTGCAAACTAGATTATTTAATCTTTTGATACGTAAAATTATTTTAGTTACTTTATTTTATAATTTTTATTTTGTATTATTTACTTTATTTATTTCCTTATTTTAATTTTGTCATAATTTATTATTTTTCTTCTTCTCTATGTTCTTTTGTAATGTTTTCCTAACAAATTATTTAATTTTTTTTTATTAACATTAATATATTTATTATTAAATTTTGTTAATATATTATTTACCTCATTTATTCGTAATAAATTAACATAATCTTTTATTTTTAATTTTAGTTTATTTTATGTTTTGATTATAATTTTATTTATTATTTTTGTTTTAGCACTAACATTTTATGTATTTTTTATAGACTCCCACGAAGATAAAATCATTTAGATTTCAAAACTTTGGCGTAAACTAATTAAAACTATTTGTCCCAATGTTTTTTTTTTTTTTTTTTTTGTTTTCATCTCTAATTAATTTTTAATCTATTAGTATGACAAAGAAAAATACATTTTAAAAGTACTTTGTTTTTGGCGAATTTAAATTTAAAAATAATTTTATAATTTTTATCAAATCCAAAAAAAGTAATATATATTTTTTATAAAGATTTTGCAAAAAAAAATGTTTCAGTCAAAAAGAAATTTTTTAAAATAAATTTGACATGGTATGTCCCAAATATGAACAACGTTTGAAATTAAAATTATTTAGGCTTTTTTTATTGCAAAAATTATTATATTAAAATTTTAAATTATTTTTTTTACTTAAAAGCACTGGATGACAGTTGCATAGACGATGTTCTTAGCGATGGTATAAGGGGACAAGAACTTTTTGACAATAATTGTTATAAAGAAATTCAAGCACATATCAATTTAAAAAATGCCGCACACATGCAAAGTTTCGAAACTGTTTCCGCGGATGAGGCTATCAAATTATTACTTTGCAATTATGAAAATTTAGCTGATGAGAAAAAACGAAAAATACATCATTATCAGGTAAAAAAAATCAAATTATTGATTACGTTTTTAATATTCAATTATTAAAATTGAATAAAATATTTTGTAATTATTCATAAATATGTTTTTTTTTATAGAATGATTTAAATATACGTTCCACTGCTTGGCAGCGCTTACAGTTAGAAACTGATATTGAAATTTTATCAAGTCTTTTATACGAATGGATAGAATCATTAAGAAGACCCATTTTAGATACAGAGGCATTAAGTCAAATTGTAATACAAAGTTCTAATCCAAGGCAGTGCCTTCAAAAATTGAATCCCTGGATTAGATATGTAATTGAATATCTTATGCGATTTGTTTCACGATTAAGACCATTGTCAAGAAGTACACAAAATCTTCTTGTAAAAAGAATAATGGCATCTATTACACAACAAAAAGTCTCCATTAATGGCACAATCTATCCAACAAGTGAGTTTTATATTCAAGTATTTCTAAAAAAAAAGAAATTTTTTTTAAATAATCTCTTTAAAATTTTAGCGAAACAATTTCAAAAATTAAGATCTGGTACAACTGAAAAATTAACTGAATTTCTTGTTCGACTATTAAGTCTAATAGAGGAAATAAATACCAAAGATATGAATAATATGTGGCCAACATCAAAATGGGAAATTTGCCGAATATTACATGATCCAAAATTAAAAGCAAGCTCAACAACATTCTTTCCACGTACAATGAATTAATTTTAGATTTTATTTAAAATCAAATATTTTGAAAAAAGCAAGATTTATCTCTCTTTTTTTATAAAATTAAGAAATAAAAGTAAGATATTGCTTTCACATTTTAAGATTTTAAATAATATTATATAGTTACAAAAAAAGAAAAAAAGTTAAATTAAAAAATAAATATTTAATAAAAGAAATAGTCACATTTTTTAAATTTATTAATCAATAAAATTAACTTATTAATTATTTTTATCATAATTATTGTTGAATGATAAATTATTGTAATTGTTGATTTTTTTTTTTTTTTTTTTCTTACATTTGACGGCTCTCTTTGTCTATTGTCAATATTTTTGTCGATAAAAATGGAGATTTATGTTTTAAAAGTATAAATTTTAAATGTAAATTAAATGCAATGAATGATTTATTAAATAATAATAAATCTCACTATCAGTATTGTCTGAGACCACCACGTCGCATGCCTGGTTGAATCATTCTATTTGGCGGAGTGATAGAAATATCAAGGTAGTCTCCTATTGTAAACCTAAAAGAAAAAAAATTTACTGTCAACTTATTTTTAAATTAAATTTATTGTAAATTTACTCAGGGTGTCCAGGAACTTTTTTTTTCGAAAAAAAAAATTCAAGGTCCAAAATAATTTTTCTCAAATATGAAATTTTATATTTCTTAAAATTCTTTTTGTTAAATATTTTCAAAAATTCAATTAAATTTCAAAATTTTTTTTAAAAAACTTCATTTTTTCAAAATTTTTAATTAATTCTTCGAACTGAATTATTATTGAAATTTGTAATTTAATATCTTTTATGATTAAAATAATATGTCAAAATTTTAAATGGCAACTTTCCTAAAATTAAATTTGCAAATTTTTTCTATATTTTTTTTTTAATATTTATTTATAAAAAATATTAATTAAAATTAGCTTTTATATTAAATTTTCTACATGTATAATAAATAAATAATAAAACTCTGCAAATTTTATCATTTTTAGAAATTTTAATAAACTTCATTGATAATTTAATTTTCAAATTACAAATATTGCTTTTAACACATTAATTTGAATTCCCAGAGAAATTTATTTATTTGCAAATGTACATTAACAATGTAAATGAGTTTACAAAAATTATTTTAAAAATATTATTGCTGCTCTTATAAATATTAATTATTTTCGAAAATTTAAAGTAAATTTTTTCAGAAATTTGTATAAAGTTCTCGAAAGTAAATAACTTTCAACATTAAAATAATTGCAAAACGTTTTAATTGATAAAACATGTGAAATTTTATTATTATCCAAAAATTTAACTCCTAATCTACTAAAATGTAATTACATTTAAATTCTCTATATCTTAATTATTATTAAAATTTTGTAAAAATCTACGGTAATTAAAATTTACTAAAACTCTTATTTCAAGTCTCATGAAGTTTATATTTACATTTCAAAAAATCTTATTTATTTATTTACTGAAACATAAAAGCAAAGCTATTTAAAAATTCCAGTACTAAAATTCAATAGTGTCTGAAAGTAAACAAATCTTCAGCAATTAAAATCTACAAAAATTTCTTTTTTAAATTATATAAAATTCAATTATTTCTAAAAATTTGAACTGTAAGTCTTGAAAAATTTGATGATTTTTATAAATTTTTCTAAATATTTTCTACGTACAATTTTTTGTAAGATTTTTATAATATTTCAAAATTATGGATTCATCAAATTAAAAATTCAATTCGTGATAATTTCAAGTTTTTTAAAGGTGAAAAATTCAAGCTTTTAAATGATCGCTGGACATCCTGTTTTACTGTTTAATATTTATGAGAATAAAATAATTTTTTAAAGAAGAAAGTAATAATTAAGTTCTAGTCACTATGAATCAATTAATGAAATAGTAAATTTTTATTTTATAACTAATATTTTAAATTATCTGGAGAGTGTTTTATTTTCATAAATTTAATATAAGTCATAAATATTGTTAATATTTAAATAAAAATAATGTATTTCCTTTTCTAACATTGGTTAAAAATTCTATTAATTTCAGAAAATTTTTCTAAATTGTGAGGAATAATTTCCATTTTATATCGAAAAAGTATTCTTTTTTTTTTTGGAAAAAATTTTCTACTAACATTGGTGAAAAAATACATTATTTTCGAAAATTTTTCTGAAAGAATAATTTCCGTTTTTTTTTTTTTTTATAGAAAAACTATTTTTTCTCCTTGTTTCGGAAATGTTTCCTACTAAACAGTCGTAGAATCAATTTTTCTCTTAATTTGTGAAAAATTTCCTATTATTTCATCGGAAAAAAGGGGCGCATGAATATCCCATAAAAATCATTAGCAAGAACTTTTATATTTGTAAGAATTTCTTTTTAGACGAATTTTCATTTTTCGAATTAATATTTGAATTACTTTCTTTGTAAACGAAATTTTATTTAACATAATTTTTATGTAACGAATTTTTATTTGACATAATTTTTATTTTAACGAAATTCCTTTTTATCCACCTTTTATTTAAAAGTATTATAATTTTACTCAATTTTAATTTATCAGAATTCTCATTTAACAGAATTTTAGTTATTCGAATTGTTTAATGTGAGAATTTTTAATTTATCGAATCTCCATGTGTCAGAATTTTTATTTACACGAATTGTTATTTTGGTAGAATTCCTAAAACAGGGAATTTTCATTTAATAGAAATTACAAATGGCCGAACAAACAAATGTCAGAAAGATTTCGGCGCAGTTTTTAAAATAGACTAATAAGAAATTATTAAATCTTTCTGATGCTTGCTTGTTCGGCCGTTTGTAATTTCTATCAAATGGAAATTCTTTGTTTTAGGGATTCTATCAAATAAAAATTCGTAAAATAAAAATTGTGACACATGGAGATTCGATAAATTAAAAATTCTCACATTAAACAATTCGAATAACTAAAATTTTGTTGAATGAGAATTTTGATAAATTAAAATTGGTTTAAATTGTAATTCTATAAAATAAAAAGTTGGATAACAAAAAATTTGGTAAAATAAAAATTATATTCAATTAAAATTCGGTACCTAAAAACTATGTTAAATAAAATTTCGTGTACAAAGAAAGTAATTCAAATACTAATTCGAAAAATGAAAATTCGTTTAAATAGAAATTTTATCAAATGAAATTCATACAAATGAAAATTCTAGCTAATGATTTTTATGAGATAATCATGCGCCCCGGAAAAAATTCCAAAATTTTTTACAATGATACTTATATAAATTTCAATATATAAGGGTCAGTCCACTGACTTTCGTCTAATAGTGGTTGCGACCAAATTTTAAAAAAATCTAGTTTTAATATATGTGAAACTCGATGATTCCCTGAGTTCATTAACCATAATATTATGGTAAAAATTTTATTCCCTTTAAAAATATTAAATATCACAATGTGATTTTGTAATCTTAAATTTTTCAATTTTTTTAAAAACGCTATTATTAAAAAACTATTAAAAATTAAATGTTGGAACTCACCAAAAACATAAATCACTTTATTCTGCACAGAGGAACGAAAGAATTATTGCAAAAATTTATTATTTTTGGATGATATACGATTTTAAAAAAAATTTTATTTAAATATTCTCAAGATTTTTATTTACTTATAACTTTTTTGTCGGTGCTCCGAAAAAATTGAGGTTTTGCACAAAGATTTTTTATAATATTCTTTACCTTCTATTAAAATCTTACGAAGATGTTTTGCTTCGTTTTGGAGATATTAATTTTCAAAATTTTTTATTTAAAAAGGTTATTTAAAAGACTTGAAGTTAACTAACCAATTTCAAATCGCTACATTTTAATATATTTTTATAAAAAATGGAGCAGTTTGAATTTGGTTAGTTAACTTCAAGTCTTTTAATTAACCTTTTTAAATAAAATATTTTGAAAATTAATATCTCCAAAACGAAGCAAAACACCTTCGTAAGTTTTTAATAGAAGGTAAAGAATATTATAAAAAATTTTTGTGCAAAACCTCAATTTTTTCGGAGTACCGACAAAAAAGTTATAAGTAAATAAAAATCTTGAAAATATTTATGATTTATGTTTTTCGTGAGTTACAACATCTAATTTTTAATAGTTTTTTAATAATAGCGTTTTTAAAAAAATTGAAAAATTTAAGGTTACAAAATCACATTGTGAACCACCTACATTTGATATTTAATATTTTTAAAGAGAATAAAATTTTTACCATAATATTATGGTTAATGATCTCAGGGAATCATGGAGTTTCACATATATTAAAACTAGATTTTTTAAAAATTTGGTCGCAACTACTATTAGACGAAAGTCAGTGGACTAACCCATAATGATATATATTTCAAAAAAAGTAATTTAAAAATTATAAAATATGTATAATTATAAATATTATATATTTAATAAATATATTTTAATAGCTTTATTACCTAGCTTGTGCAAGAGTTTTATTGTCATCAGCTCCTTTTTGTCCAGAGCAAGTAACTCCAATTTCCTTCATTCGATATCCAGGTGTTCTTTGTTCTGGAGTAACTAATGAAAAATCGAAATAAGTTCCTTTGCTTCTTGCATCAGGATTCACTTCTTTTACCAATCCAGTAATTTCACGTAAAGTTGCATCCATCCTAAATTAAAATAGTAAATAGAAAAATAAAAAAAAAATATAATTACAAAAAAAATTGAAACTTTTTATTTTATACATAAATTCTAATTTAAAAAAAAAATGTCACTTTCAATATATTGTAATTAAATAGCTAATATAAATTTTCTTATTATATTTAAAAAAAAAATATTACCATGTGTATATTTGTAATTCGTTTGAAGGAACATTTCCCCTACTGTATTCCATCATATTATGATGCCTTCCTGTGTTGCAAAAAACTCGTAACAAAAGTGGACATGTCTAAAATTATAATTAAACAAATAAGATTTAAATTTTTAAAAATAAATTAATTTCCTATCAAAACAATATATAAATAAATTTAAAAAAGAAACAAAAACTTTGTAAATTATTTTTTTAAGGTTAGGTATACATTTCTATTTGAAACTGTCATAATTTTAGGTGAATGAAATATTTAATAGGACTACTATAAAAAAGTGTAAATTAAGAACGAAAATTAATACCTTTTCTCTGTCTACTGGCTTATCTGGAAGCTGTTTTTCATCGACAACCATGGATTCAACTGCAGACGCCATTTTTCCGTCATTTACCATTTTTTGACAACAGTCGCATTATTGCGCATGTCACAAATGTTTTAGACAAGCGGGAAATTTACATTGAATTGAATTTTCATATTTAAACAGTTTTAATTATTTGAATTTTATATTTAAAGGAATTTTTATATTTAGTCAAACTTTATAGTTTATATTACTTTTATAATTTCTATACAGAATTTTTATTTAACAAAATTTTCATATTACAAAGTTTTAATTTATAAACATAATTGTTTTTGAATCTAATGGTATATATACCATTAGATACGGTCACAACTCGGCTAACTTCACATGATAGCAATAAGAGTGACAGAGACAGACAACAGGAGTAAAAGAGACAGAAAACATGATTCAAAAGGTCTAGTCTTAAGACAACCCCAAAGGTTTGTAACTTATAAAAATTTTGTTCAGTTTCAATTCAAGCAAGTTCGAGTTTGGACATGAAGAAGAAGAAATCGTCTAATAGAAATAATTTCTCATCAAAATGCCTACCGTTATAAATGACATAAAATTAGATTTTAAGGACGTTTTACTTCGTCCTAAAAGAAGTACATTAAAAAGCAGATCAGATGTGAGTAATTATATTTTTTTTTGGGTTAATAAACAATTCAATTTTAATATTTATTCTCTCTAAATTTGAATTAGTGAAAAGTGAGCTACTAATTTACATTAATAACAATTTTTACTAATTTTTAGTAAAATATTACTCTTTGATTTAGTAGTTAAAAATTTTTTTTACTAATGTTAAAAAGTGACTAAAAATTAATGAAAATTATTACTAATTTAAATTAGTAGCTCACTTTTCATCAATTCAAATTTAGAGATTTATAAATCATTTTCTTCGGAAATATTTTTTAACTCTCTTTCATTGTTTGAATATTCGTTTGAAAATTTGTCGATCCTAAACAATTGATATTTATTATCTTATTTCTGTATTATTAATTTAAAATAATAATATAATAAATCTATATATTTTCGTTTGTTTTCAAAAAATATAAATAATATTTTTGAAGAAAATATGAGCTGAGATTTTGGAATTCTATTTATTTCTTTGGGTTTATTTTTGGTTGAAATATTTTCTTTCTTTGAAGTTTTAATTAATTTTTATATTTTAGATTATTAAAATAAAATTTGTTTATTATTTATAAATGAATTTTCAGAAAAATTTTGTTATTTTATTAAATTTTTGAAGAAAATTATTTCTCATACATAGCATTTTATAAAAAATAAAAATTTTATTCTAGATCTTAAAATTTAATTTTTTTTTCTAAATATATATTACATTTGAACCATTTTTTTTTATTAAAACAGAGAGGAATTGAGAGTAAGCACGTAATGCAAATCGCGCTTTTCTATTAAAGTCTGCCCCCTCGCGGTCAAAATATCGAAGCTTAGGTGGTTAGCTATATATATTCCTTAAATCGGTGAGGCTACACACATACGCATAATGTAATGGCTAAGCCGAATGACGTTCGGAATTGATCGGGCGGGCTCGTGTATCTTTGCGTGAATTAGAGAAACAAACTGAAAACGAACCGTGCGGGCCTCATCCAATGTTTTGACTTTTTTTCAGATAAAGTATACTGCCGCCCCAACAAGAATAACCGTATCTGCATTTAGGATGAGTCACCTACTTGCCACTGCCACTGCCACCAATTGTGACTTAACCAAAATGTAGTTACTGCTACTCTTGTTGGGACGGCAGTATATGAGCCGGTTTTTCAAACAATTCACTAACCGACAATATTTTTAAGGTTAAATTTAGAAATTTTAATTTAAATTAGTAATTGAGGAGCCGGATCGTAGAACCGATTCTTCACTAATGCGCAAGACCCCCGCGCAGCTGAAAGCTGGCTCACTTGAGGGACTCCGGAGAGAGCGAAGAATCGGTTCTACGATCCGGCTCCTCAATTAAAATACAATTTTAATTTATTATTTAAATTTCATTTTAAATTTTTATAAAATTTAGAATTCTAAATGTTCTCTCTTCGAATGCATAGTTGAATAAGTACGAAATTCGTTTTCAATAAATCTTATCATAATTATTTTATAATAAGTAAAAAAAATTTCGATATTACAATATTATCTTTATTTATTTAATTCATTTAAATCATAGATTAGTAATGTGAAATAATGTGCTTTTGTCAAAGTCATATTAAAAGAAAAATTAAATTCTTTTTATTATTTTGCCGTTAAAATTTTTGAAAAATATTTTTTGTAATATTATAATAAAATTTTAGAATTTACAAATTTTACCTAATACTGACAACAATGTTTATAATTTAATTCTTAAGAATGTTCTCATTTTCTTTAAAATTGAATCAATTTTTTATGTCTATTTAATAGTTTATAAAAAAATATAATTTTTTTTATATTATACTTTTAAATTTTCGATTTGTAAATGCTTACACATTATAAGTAGCTTACATTTTTTAAAATATTAAATTTAAAAACATTTTGTCAAGAGATTAAATGTTTTAACTTAAAATAAATAAATAAAATAATCAATTTTAAAAAATATTTTATAGGTTTTTAAATCAGAAAAATTGTTTTTGTGAATTAATTAATTATTTTTTCTTTGGGCTTGTCCAAGTAAAAAATGATTTAATTTTAAATAAAATGAGAATATTCTTAAAATTTAAATTGTAAACATTGTTGTCAATACCTATTAAAATTACCCACAATTTAATACATTATTAATTTGTATAGAATATTCTATGGTGTTTAGTTTCACATTATGATGTGAACTAAATTAAACTAACTAAATTAAATAAATAAAGATAATATTTATAAAAATTATGTCAGTTTTTTTTACTTTTCAATAGTGTTATCAAAAAAATTTGTTTTTCATTTTTTATTAAAAAAGTAACAATTTTTTATAAACAAATTAAATTTCTTTTAATTTGTATGTGATTTTTTTAAAACATACCTGAAAATAAGAAGAAGATTTAGTGAAAAAATTTAGAGTCAGCCAATAAGTTTTATATTTTTATGTATTTAAAAAAAACACCACTTGCAGCATTGTGCACATTTTTGAATAGTAAAAAAAATTGATAAATTGTTAAAAATTATTTAAAAAAATTTTTTTTGAAACCTGAAATTTTATTTCACTAAAAATGAAAGAAAATTTTTTAACAATAATTTAACAATTTTTTTTACTTTTCAGAAATGTGCACAATGCTGCGCGCAGTGTTTAAATGTTTATTTAAACCTATAATCTTAGTTATTTTCAGTATTTCTTAGTATTTTCAGGTATGTTTAAAATTTTTTTTTTTTAAATCATATTCCAATTTAAAAAAACTTAATTTGTTTATAAAATTTTTTTATTTTTTAATAAAAAATGAAAAAAAAATTTCGTTAACATTATTGAAAAGTAAAAGATAAACTGGAACTTTTCTTCTCTTGGCAAAAATTGAAAAAATCCAGTTTTTTGTCTACATTTACAAAACTGAAATTTTGAAAATTTATAACTCGAAAATTTGCATAAAGAAAGTATCTTTTTTTCACTACAGAACACGAAAAAATTATATTTGGCTGAATTTAAAGGGTCGACTGAAATCTCACGTGAAATCACCCATACGTTTAAGAAAAACATTTTTTAATTAAAAATTTATAATAATTATGATAAGATTTATTGAAAACGAATTTCGTACTTATTCAACTATGCATTCGAAGAGAGAACATTTAGAATTCTAAATTTTATAAAAAAAAAGCGCGATTTGCATTACGTGCTTACTCTCAATTCCTCTCTGATTAAAACCAGAACATTTTATAATTTATTAAATAAAATAATATTTATTTCAAATGAACGAAATATTTTTTTCAATCTATAAATTATTAAAAATTATCAAAATTATAATGACAATGTAAAATAAAACAGTAAATTAAACAATTATTAAATTAATAAATTATGTTTAGATATTTAAAACAATATTTTGTAATAAAATTCGTACTTGAAAGAAGTTGAAAAAAAAATTTTCGTTCATTTGAACGTTGAAAACTTTTGGCTCATAAATCTAACAGGAAGCACTTTCGATTATTATTATTATTATTATTATTATTATTTTATTATTAAACTGGATATCAGCGGTCACTCGATCATCTGTTTTCTATTTACATACACGGAAAAAACAAACTAACTATTATCACACCAAACTGCTTTATCATTTAATAGTATATAATTTCGTTTACCTATTAAAGTATGAAATAATATTTTTTTAGTTTAAAGTAAGTCCATATACTAAATAAGTATAATGGTTAAATTTTTGAGATAACATTATTCTTTGTTTTCGAGATATTAATTAATTAACTAACAAAAGTTAATAAAAAATGAAATATTTTACGAACAAATAAAATTAGAGTAATTTGAAAAACACCATTAGAATGCTTATCAAAATCCGCATATGAACTATTTCTAATAAACGGGTGTTAAATTAATAATAAAAATTATTTAAATAATTAATAACATTTAAGGAAATGAAGATAATCCGTCAATTATTTTTTTCATTTGAAAGATCAACTATTTCTGTGTTAAATAAAACCAGTATAAATAACATTTTTAACAAATCTTAATTATTAACAGATGATTATTGAAAATTGAGGTTTCAGCACCCTACGACACAAGTTTGAGGGGGCTGCCTACCTACTCGGCATGCTATTTTTCAGTCTTTTTCTAAATAACATTTTATAATTAATTTTTGATTCTTGGTAATACTTAATATTCTTTTTTTGACACAGAATTAGATGATCTTCCAAATAAAAAAAGAATTGACGGTTTATCTTAATTTCCTTAAATGTTATTAATTATTTAAATAATTTTTATTATTAATTATTAATTTAACACCCGCCTATCCAAAATAGTTCATATAGGGCTTGTTGGATGCGAATTTTGATAAGCATTCTAATGGCGTTTTTAAAAATACTCTAATTTTATTTGTTCGTAAAATATTTTATTTTTTATTAACTTTTGTTAGTTAATTAATTAATATCTCGAAAACAAAAAATAATGCCATCTTAAAAATTTGATCATCGATTTATTATGACTTAAAAAATATTCATGATATTTTTCGCGCTTCTAAATGAGGGAGAACATGTTTAAAAGTTATAAACAAATTTTATTTTTTAAACAAATTGTTTAAAAATTAATATTTTTTTAAAAAAAATAATTTTTTTCTAAAAGTTTAAAATCTTTCGCGTAAAAAACATTTACAACATTTTCTCTATTTTTAATAGGAAAAAAGTTATAAGTAAAGCAAAAAAATTTTGCTCAAATTTGTTATTGTAAATATCTCGAAAAATATTAAAAATTTCAGATTCAAAATTTGTACACTTATTTAGCACCACTATCACTACAATTTACCGAATTTTGAGAAAAATCCGAGACATGACCCCGTATTCTCATATGAAATGCCTCTTGTACGTTTTCTGCGTGGTGGGCGGCTGCCTTTTTTTTTAAAAAAAATTTTTAACAATTTTTTGTAATTTTCAGAAATGTGCAAAATTACAAAAAATTGTTAAAAATTATTTTTTTTATTTTTTTTTGGAATCTAAACTCATATTTTACTATGAAAA